TCCCGCAACAGCATATGTCTATCTTTTATGGTTGAGTCACAATAATACGTGTAATTATATAAATAAAGTCATTGTTTATAGCACAAGCCTGAGAACAAAAACTATAGTTTACACTACAGCTCTACACCGAAGCGAAGCGAGGGCGGGCCACTAGTAATAAATATGTACCTATATCACCCCCAGTGCCGCCGTCGGGAATGGTGCCCAATAGGCTGGCAGCATTGCCGCGTTGGATGGCAAGGCTGATCCGATGATCAAGATCGCTGCCAGCCTTTTGATCACCAGTCGCCTCAGTGAGTTTCTTTGATAATTAATTAAAAAAGGAACGAGCGAGGAATTTTGTAAATTATTATTTTGTTGCCGGGTGATGTTGATATTATAATATAAGTATTATATTTAAATACATATATGTATAATAGACTTGAACTGAATATGTCATGATTATTCAATCTTAAAACTAAAAAAACAAGTCTCTTCATTAGATTTCCATAGATCATCCTGTCGTATTTTAGTCTCAGGTTCAGAGTAGATTTTTCTAATTCGTTAATAATGCATGAATCAGGCTGTATTTAGTTTCCATAGTACAAGCTCTACTTAATTTGGGACTAAATCAATTTAAATAAATTTCTTTGTCGCACTATTCGTAAATGGAATGCTCTGCGCGCTCACTTGTTCCCTCCTTCTAATACCTCGTTTATACCTCGTTTAGACTATGCCCATGCCGCTGCCCCTCGCGTTGCCGGCAATAATTCCCTAAATATTGCTGCGGCATGATTGAGAGAAGTATGTGTTTACATACTGCCCTACCTCTCACTTCGCTTTCAGAGTTTCGGCAATGGCAGACGTCGAAGTAATACAATCCACAATTATGTTCGAAAATTAAATAATTAATAACTTTAATATAAATAAATTAATAAATATTAATTATTAATAAATATTTAATTAATTAATGAGGAGCTCGATGGCGCAGGTGCTTAGCGCGTTCGGCTGCGATCGTTGTAGATAAGCAACTTTCGCAGTGGTCGGTCATTGGATGGGTGACCAAAAATTTCTATCTCGAGTTCCTCCGTGCTTCGGAAGGCACGTTAAGCCGTTGGTACCGGTTGCATCTGCAATCGTTAGAACCCGCCAATCCGCACTGGGCCCGTGTGGTGGGTCATGGCCCAATCTCCCTATTCCATCCATAGGGAAGGCCTGTGCCCCAGCAGTGGGGACATAAAGAGGCTGATGATGATGATGATGTTAATGATTTAATTAATTAATAATTTTTAATTTGACGTCTTTCTCCACCAAGCGCGTGGCGCGAACTAAGCGACGCGCAGAGTGTGACCCGGTCCTTTGACTTCCGCACAAAAAACCGCTCTTTTGGGGAGCGCCGGGCAGCGCGAGTGGCAATGGCATAGGCATGACGAGTATCGTGTTTACATACTCGTCATGCCCACTTCCCTCCTTACTCGCGCTGTATGTAAACGAGGTATTACAACCTGGGATCCTTTAAAAGTGGCGTGAAGAAGCAACATGCGGCTGGCAAGGTGAGGATAGCTGGTGTGGCAGGTAGAACCTTAGAAGCTGTACCACCTTTCTCTGTCACGTCTGGACTTCACCGTCACTTAACGGCCACTTTAGTAGCCGCTTCTAGCTTCTCATGACGGCGTTTGTGGCTGTGGCGTGTGGCCCGTGTGCGGCGAAACTAAGGCCACATTTTGATTGTACAACCATGGGAATTTTAACATGCTTTAATGTATGTCTTGGTTGTTAACTGTCCTTAAATAAATATTATAAGTGTGAAAGTTTGTATGATTGTTACCCAATAACTTACAAAAACGGCTGAACAGATTTGGATGGAATTTGGCATGGATATAGTTTATTACACGGATTGAGACATAGGACCCGTTTCACGTTTCATGCAAAAACGTTAGGTTTCAGAGGGATTCTCAAAAAAAATAAAGTTAACGAGGACGAAGTCGCGGGCGGCCAATAGTGCTAAATACGAGCATTTGTACCTAAGCTATGACGGTTCATATTTCTGCAATAATTACTTATCTATGCATTACATATGTTTTAGATAGTCCTATTCGTTACCCTAGTATTCCATAACACAAGCCTTTCAGTGCATTCTTTGGGGTTAGACCAACTTACCGCACCTTGAAAACTGTACCACAGATTAATAATAATAATAATATTCTTTATTGTATAACACCACAATGGACATAACAGTAAGATTACACTGACAGAGAGACATTACACAATGGGCGGCCTTATTGCTTAATAGCAATCTCTTCCAGGCAACCCATGACGAAAAATTAAATAAGTATAAAGAACAAAAAAAGGGGGAAGGGTGTAAGAGCAATATTATAAAATAAAATAAAAACGGTAATAATAATATAGATGCATATTTATATGAAAAAAATAAAAAATAAACAAATAAATAAAGGAAAGAGGTATTTTCAAAGTAAAGATAGGAAATGACGCTTAACTTGCTCACGGAACGAGTCCAAAGTGCGAGCCCTTCGTATGGATTCCGGTAATGAATTCCACAAGCGAACAGAATGCACAGAGTAGGAGTAAGAAAGGAAATCAGTCGAATGACAAGGTATTTCTAGAGTGAGATTAGAAGAGGAGCGTAGAATGCATTGTGAAGAGGATGATCGAAAAGAGAAGCATTGTTTTAGATAAGGTGGAGAAGTAGGTAGGAAAAGTACAGAATAAAGAAGCGTAAGAGTATGTAAGTCCCTGCGCCGGCGAATAGGGAGCCAGTTGAGTTTCGAGCGGAAGTGTGATACATGGTCAAATTTACGGAGATTATATATAAATCTGATAGCTATATTCTGCAAACGTTCCAACTTGCTTAGCAGTTCCTCAGAAAGATCCGTGTAACATACATCAGCATAGTCCAGAATGGAGAGTAAAAGAGTATGCGCCAGAGTGATTTTAGTACTGGTCGGCAAAAAGTTACGTAGGCGATTAAGTGAGTTGTATGCGGCAAATATTTTTTTTCTTATAGATTCGAGCTGAGGTTTCCAAGAGAAACAGTGATCAAATATCACACCAAGGTTTTTGACAGTTGTGGAAAAGGGTATAACAATCCCATCAAAAGTTACAGGAGGCAGCCGTTCATAGTTGATCCTGGAAGCGAAATAAGGACTGCCGATTAAAATAGTTTGCGTCTTCGCGGGGTTAACAGTTAAGCCGAATGACTTACTCCAGTTACTAATCAAAGCAAGGTCAGAATTTGTAACCGCTATTGCGTCTGAAAGGTCAGATAACGGCGCCTGTGTGTATATTTGAAGGTCATCGGCGTAAAGGTGATAGGAACTGAAAAGTGAGTGTGTGATAGAATTTATGAAAATAGAGAAGAGTAAAGGAGATAAGACGCCACCCTGAGGAACACCGGCATCAATAACGCACCACGCAGAGAAGTTTTCTTCTATGCGTATACGCTGCCGGCGCCCTAGCAGGTAACTTTGAAACCAATCAATCACCATTGGAGATATGTTAAGAGAACGACGAATAGCAAGAAGGATGTCAAAATCAATGGAGTTAAAGGCGTTGGTGAAGTCAAGCAATGTCAGCAGTGTAAGTTTGCGTTCTTCCATACCATGTCGAATATCATCTGCAATTTTAACTAATGCAGTAGATGTGCTGTGACCCGTACGAAAGTCAGATTGATATGGGTTAAGGAGTTGGTTCTGGTTAAGGAAAACAATAAGTTGGCGATATACGAGTTTTTCCAGGACCTTGGAAAGGAAGGGAAGAATGGAAATAGGACGATATTCTGAAAAAGAGGCAGGATTGGATTTTTTAGGAATCGGGATAACATTAGCGTCTTTCCAGGCTGCAGGAAACACACCGGTCAAAATTGAAGTATTGATAATATGGGTAATAATGGGACCTAGGATGTCGAGGATGGGAAGAATCATTTTTCGACTAATAGAATCACTTCCTACTGCACTGGAATTGATTGTTTTTATGGTTCTCTTAACATCACAATCGGTAAATTGATCTAAGAAAAAGGAAGAATCTGGAGTTGGCAAATTAGAAAGACGTTGTAAAGTTTCAGCCTTACGGCGCCCATCAAGAAGCAGAGAACTGGAAAAATAACTATTAAGTTGGTTGATATCAAGATTGTTAACAGAATTAATGCTACAAGATTTGCCAACCCCGAGAGATTTTAGAAATTTCCAAACTTTGACAGGATCTTCATTTTCAACAGAGTTATGAATATAGCGTCTTTGGGCGTCCCTGATCATAGTGTTGCACCGATTCCTGATACGGTTATATTTTATTTCATTTAGGTTGGAAGGATCAACTTTGAACTTCGCTTTAGCTGAATTTTTTTTTGACATTACCTTACGAATCTCATCAGTTAACCACGGAGCCGGCAAGTGTTTCATTTTCACAGGAGAAACAGGAGCATGCACATCATACAACTCGACCAGCAGCGTGTTAAAAAGTTCAATCTGTTCGTCAACAGACTCAGTAGCAAAGATTGCGGACCAGTCTATGTTGGCAGCATCCTCAAGCAATTGTTCTTGATCAATCCTAGCAAAACTGCGCTGAAGTTGAACTGTAGGCTTTAATTTGAGAGGACGGATAAGGTAAGAAAGATACACCAAATCATGATAGGAAAATGCGTCTGCAGAATACTGGCCGTGCTTAGCAGCCAACGTGGGGGAGGAGACTATTATGAGGTCAAGAAGAGATGGAGTACAATTTGGAAAATGATGAGTTTCCTTCAGTGGAAGAATGTGTAAATTAGAGGAGTCAATCACTGAAAGCAACCTTTACATACATACCACTATAAAATGGTCTTCAAATTAAACAATTACTTAAGTTTAAAATTAAATAACGCAAGTTTTTTAGACCCATAATAAATCCAATATTTGATATATATTATACACACATCATTTTGTGTGCAAAACAATGAATAAACATTTAAGGGAATTAAAATTGAAGGTAGTCTTCATCAACTCTCATTTTGAGGCGAAATAATATGCAAATTGATTTTAAATCATCTTTATTATAACAATATTAGAACTTATATATACAAACAAACAAAAAACTTTTTTTTTATATTGTCAGGTAAACAAATGACTCTACCCCGCCTGATGTTAAGTGATGATAAAGTCCAAACGCGAAGATAGCTGGTACAGCAGTTGTAAACTGCTACACCAACCATACAGTACAGAATAACAAGCATATTTAAGATGGACGGACGTATGCTATCCTTGCCATTATTCCTAGCACATTAGGTTCATAATGAATTAACAACTAAATCACACCTAACGCATTTATCGCTATCATTATAAACGTTATATTTCCTACATCTCAAACATTGACTAGCATCGCTCGTAGACAATTCCATGGCCCAGTTCTTCGCGCCATACTTAACATCCAAAACGACTTTGGAAACTTCCAGAATTTCACACAACACACTATCATTGACATTGTCACTGGTGTTTATTGCCTCCAAATTATTGAATAAATATTCTTTTAATTTTATATTCGCTTTAAACTTTTTCAAGCTGTCATTTTTTGCTATAGCACAGAGATCTTTTTTTATATCCAAAATTGTATCCATTAATGACGTATCAACAGGTGTCTTTTCAAGAACCGGTACTTCTTTAGTGAAATAGAAAGGGTTTTCGTACAGCGGGTGGTAGCGCCACGCTTCTTCGATCAGATGCGGCAAAATAGGCCCTAACGCCTTACAAATAGACACTAGAATCGTGTGTACGACCAACTGTGCAGATAGTCTTTCATCGGAACTTTTCGGTGAACAATACAGTCTATCTTTGACGCATTGACAATACAACGCGGAGACCTTATTGCTTATGAAATAGAGCACATTTTGCGCTACATTATTATATCTGAAGTTGTTGTAGTTCTCCGTGGTCTGATGTAGGAATTCGTGGCTTTCATTCACCATGTATTGGTCGAAATAGTTCAGTACTGGAGTTTTCACGAATTGTGCCTTTTCCAAGTCTCCGATTACGCCTAAAAGATATTTCAACATGTTTCTAATTCTGATGACTTCGCCCTGGCAGTCGTCTAAGAGCTTTTTGCTTATCTGAATTTGTGAATGCTGTGTAGAATGACTCGCGACCCACCAACTGGGAACAAAACATTTTTCTGTTTACCTATTAAAATAAATGAAGACTGATAGCGTTCTATGGATAGTGCCGAGTTGCAAATGCAAAAGCAAATATAGACGGAATATAGTACTGTAACGTTGTGCGGTATAAAGTCTTTAACAAACGATAAATATAAATATATTCGAATTTAGAAATTACAACCTTAATATTAATTAATTGAAAACGTAAACTGCGTCAAATTCTATATTTTAATCTAAAATCATTAAATACATAAAATAGGAAAGCCGCGCGCGTTAAATGAAATTCGTTAAGTGCAATGCGAGGAGCTCGATGGCGCAGGTGGTTAGCGCTTTCGACCTTCGATCGTGAAAGTTATGCAACTTTCGCAATGGTCGGTCATTGGATGGGTGACCAAAACCTTATTATCCCGAGCTCCTCCGTGCTTCGGAAAGCACGTTAAGCCGTTGGTCCCGGCTGCATCTGCAGTCGTTTGCACCCACCAACTCGTTGTGGATCACGGCCATGCCCCAGCAGTGGGGACATTAACAGGCCGATGATGGTGAAGTACTATGCGAGTTCTCATGTTTGAGCAAGAGGGCGAAGCCTTGCGTGAGAAATGCAGTTGAACTGTATTTCTCACGGAAGACTATTGTATCCATAGGGAAGGCCTGTGCCCCAGCAGGGGGTACATTAATAGGCTGATGATAAGGCATACTAAACTTGTAGACTCAATGAGGGCTACCGTTTTTTGTCTCACCAGATGGCGCCACTGTTGAGTGAGATCCTGAATTGTAACTTTTAATGTTTATTAATACGCGCGTGAAATCAAAGTATACATTTAAATCATATTTTAATACAAAAGAACCGTATTCTAAACATAATTGGCCATACCACAGTGTTGTGCAGCTCCGTTTTGTACGGCAAAAAGGAGAACATAATTATTTTTCTTAGCTCCGCTTTTAAATAACTGACATTCAATGCCACGTAACTCATATTTGCTATAATTAAGACGAGTTATTACTAAATATTCACAACATTATTTTAATTAGAAATAAACCCGCGTAGTCAACCCACAACCAATAACATTTGACATTTCGGAGACCTCACGCTACACAAGCGCCTCTAGCGGCGGATTCATACGCGATAGCCCTCATTAACGGAGAATACAAGAAGATTTCACACCTCCGGTGCGACACTGTCACTTATGCAAAAAAATCATTTTTTCAGGAGAAGCGTTTAAAACTTTAACATCCCAAAACATACAATATTAAAAAAAATTTTTTTTTTTTTAGATGAATAGCTAAGCTGTATAAGCTTTTCACCACGTAAAAATCTTTAAATATTGTATGTTTTGGGATGTTAAAGTTATAAACGCTCATCCCGAAAAAAAATTTTTTTTGCATAAGTGACAGTGTTGTACCATTATAATTTTCAATATGATAATCACACTATCACACTAATATTATAAAGGCGAAAGTTTGTGAGTGTGAGAGTGTGTATGTTTGTTACTTCTTCACGTCTAAACGGCTGGAGCGATTTTAATAAAAGTTGGTATGGAGTTAGCTGACACCATGGATTAACACATAGGCTACGTTTTACTGCGGGAAAATATGCCTAATAATGCGCGGGTAACACCGCGGGGCAAAGCTAGTATTACATACTGTGGAATAATCAGATCCTTATCTGAAGACAGTGCAAGGGCGGATCCAGGTCATGGGGGTCATGACCCCCCCCCCCCCCCCTGGGCTGGGTACAGATGGACCAAACCCAGGGGGATTTTATTTAAGTACTTTCAATATACCACGACTGACCCCCGTCCCCTTTTTTTTTTGTGACGAGGGGAAATGCAGTTACGCGCCATACCGTGAAGCTGACTAGGCGCACGGCGTGTGTGGGACTCGCCGGCACGGGAAACAGTGCCGACCCTACTCAAGCAGGACGACAAATGAGCCAAAGCTGGCTATATGACCCCCCCCCCCCCCCCCCTCTGGCGCCAAAGCTGGATCCGCCCTTGAGACAGTGGGTACATTAATAGGCTGATGATGATGTCTGTATAGAAAAATATCGTTACCGTAAAGTATCAATGCCATACGGTGGCTGGGTGTTTGGATCCTTCCCTCCATGTATGATGGTGTGTGGTTCAATTACGTTGCCTATCGACTTCGACATCTTCCTCTTCTTATCGTCTACCACGAAGCCGTGTACGAAGATTGCCCTGCGACAAATAATAATTCAATTCATTTATATCAGCTGTTAACTCCAGACCCCCTAGCATGAGCATCGCAATATGATATATAACGCGTTTTTATCAAGCTCCATTGTCAAATCACTATGAAGTTTGACAGCGTGACGCGTTAAAAAAGTGATATAATGTAAATTGTGATGGTCATGCTACGGGGACAGGAAATAATAATCCCAATCTTGATTCCTTTACAAGCATTTAATCTTCAATTAATTTTATAATACAGATTTGCTAATATTAATATAATGTACCTATATGCAATCAAATGCAGCGAGTAAAATTTTCTGGTGTCTTGTCTTCTTAGTACAGTCAATCTGTAGGTTGGGTCGTGAAAAAAAAACCTAAAGGGTAAGTCTTAGTTTTTCTGTTGCCAAATGACGTCAGTAAGCCACCTTGGCGATGGGCATGTTCAACTCGTAGGCGTTTTTTGAAAAACTCAAAAAAACCGTCAAAAATTTTTTGAAACGCATTTTTCTTGTTTTGTAACATTTTTGGAAATTTTTTTTTCGACCATAATTGTAGAGGGCGTTGAGTACTACAATTTATGTCATTGTTGCAATCTCGTACAACAAAAAATGCGCATTGTAGGTGGCGCTAAAGTCGCAAAAAAAGTGATTTTTCACTTTTTCACCCTGAAAATATCATTTTAATGGAAAACTTTAGATGGCGAAGTTTTTTCGTACATAATTACCAACAACTTTTGTATAAACAATTTTTTGTATTACTTACCGTTTTCAAGTTATAAATTGCGCAGGTATGAAAAATCCAATAGAGCAGTTTTGGGCAGTTCAAGTACACATTTGCAGTGCACATTTCAATGTACGTTTTTACTTTTTTTTTTCAATCATGAATAAAATAAAAATAAAACAATGTTTTTTTTATTTTTTTTCATTTTTTTTGTTTTTCAATCATGAAAAAAAATAAAAAATAGTAAAACGTACATTGAAATGTGCACTGCAAATGTGTACTTGAACTGCCCAAAACCGCTCTATTGGATTTTTCATACCTGCGCAATTTATAACTTGAAAACGGTAAGTAATACAAAAAAATTGTTTATACAAAAGTTGTTGGTAATTATGTACGAAACAACTTCGCCATTTAAAGTTTTCCATTAAAATGATATTTTCAGGGTGAAAAAGTGAAAAAACACTTTTTTTGAGACTTTAGCGCCACCTACAATGCGCATTTTTTGTTGTACGAGATTGCAACAATGACATAAATTGTAGTACTCAACGCCCTCTACAATTATGGTCGCAAAAAAAGTTTTTAAAATGCATACAAAACAAGAAAAATGCGTTTCAAAAAATTTTTGACGGTTTTTTTGAGTTTTTCAAAAAACGCCTACGAGTTGAACGTGCCCATCGCCAAAGTGGCTTACTGACGTCATTTGGCAACAGAAAAAACAAGACTTACCCTTTAGGTTTTTTTTTCACTGAAACGATATTTTTTTCGACAGATTGACTGTACTATCTCTCAAGAGCCGTTATAATGAAAAACGATTGTTGCCGACAACGCCCGTCGGCTGCCGTCGTGATCATTCGGCAGTTTTCGGCGGTTTGCGTATTTCAAGCGCGTAGTTTAAGCGCGAACATCAGCTATTGAGCCATATTAATTACATAAAAAAACCGGCCAAGTGCGAGTCGGACTCACGCACCGAGGGTTCCGTACAAACCTGTAGGTATATTTTAATAATTATTAATATTTTAATAATTATTTATTAATAATTTTAATTTTTTAAGCATGTAACTACTTGATGTTTAAATCTAAAGAAAATATAACTAGAAAAAATTCCACGTGGACCAGGCAGCAGACGGGACTTTTTCTAGTTATATTTTCTTTAGAATAATTATAATTATTAATAAATAATTATAAACCGGCCAAGTGCGAGTCGGAGTCGCGCACCGAGGGTTCCGTACAAACCTGTAGGTATATTTTAACAATTATTAAAAAAAATTGTTTTCATTATATGATGTAACTAAAAATTTACGGTATTCGCAATTTTTCCTTTATCTGTACTATAAGACGTTACTTTGTACCAAATTACAAGATTCTAAGTTCACGAGAAGTACCCTGTAGGTTTTCATTCCTGTGCGAGTTTCGAAAATTTACGGAAATTGGCGGCATAAACGGCTGTGTCTTTTGATTGCTTTGGCTTAGAAGTTTAATTTTTTAACAGCTCCAAGGGACAGTAGACCTGAGTTTTAGATATGAATTTCAGTTTGATACCTCCACGTGTTCCTTAGAAAAATGGTCTTGACAGACGGACGAACGGAAGGAGCGACAACAAACACAGGTACATTAATACGCGTTACGAAAAGTATGATCGGGCGAGGCGAACGGGAGTTGAATGGGGGATATAAACAATACATACAGATGGAGCTAATGAAGTTTTATTTGTTTCTTAGGTTTTCACGCACATCACTCATTAAATAAAACTAGTTTTTACGGGTTACTGCACGAAACTTCATTTATTTATTGACGTTTCGCAGCCTTTTCAGGTCTGCATCGTCAGAATAATGATTTTTTATTTAAAATTGTCGAGCCACCTTCGAAAGACTTATATTGAGCGTTCGGTTATTTCATTGGTAGTTGGTTGGTTGGTTGGTGGTAGTTTACGGTAGTTAGGGTCAAATAAATAAATAAACTCAAAATTACAAACAAGAATTTTAAATAAAGTACTTTATTAAGTAAATTAAATAATAAATTCATACATAGACAATAAAATTTTAAAGATCTTCCAATGAAATAACCGAACGCTCAATATAAGTCTTTCGAAGGTGGCTCGACAATTTTAAATAAAAAATCATTATTCTGACGATGCAGACCTGAAAAGGCTGCGAAACGTCAATAAATAAATGAAGTTTCGTGCAGTAACCCGTAAAAACTAGTTTTATTTAATGAGTGATGTGCGTGAAAACCTAAGAAACAAATAAAACTTCATTAGCTCCATCTGTATGTATTGTTTATATCCCCCATTCAACTCCCGTTCGCCTCGCCCGATCATACTTTTCGTAACGCGTATTAATGTACCTGTGTTTGTTGTCGCTCCTTCCGTTCGTCCGTCTGTCAAGACCATTTTTCTAAGGAACACGTGGAGGTATCAAACTGAAATTCATATCTAAAACTCAGATCTACTGTCCCTTGGAGCTGTTAAAAAATTAAACTTCTAAGCCAAAGCAATCAAAAGATACAGCCGTTTATGCCGCCAATTTCCGTAAATTTTCGAAACTCGCACAGGAATGAAAACCTACAGGGTACTTCTCGTGAACTTAGAATCTTGTAATTTGGTACAAAGTAACGTCTTATAGTACAGATAAAGGAAAAATTGCAAATACCGTAAATTTTTAGTTACATCATATAATGAAAACAATTTTTTTTAATAATTATTATGCATTATAATATATTTATTCACATCTGAAATTGACTATTGTAAAAAGTTTAATGTAAAATATTTCCTCGGTTAGTTATAATAAATGTACATATGAAATGAATAAATATATATTTATATATGTATATTATTTTCATTAATTTGTTTATTTACGCTTTCATACAGTATCAATCTTTTTTAAGTTAAATAAACTCTTTTTGCGTCTGGTTAGACTATCGAACTTAAGGAGTAAACACCAGTCGTGCGTCGGAGCTGACACACACATTTTTTTTATATAATTTTTATTTAGTAGTTTTAAATTATTGTAGCTCTAAAGTAACAATAGAGGGGAGAGCACTGTCTTCTGGTCCTCAGGGTCCTTTTCCAGAGGACGGGGTTCACATTATCATGTACGAAAATGTAAAGTGGTTCCAATAAATTATTATTATAAATTACATAAAAAAACCGGCCAAGTGCGAGTCGAACTCGCGCACCGAGGTTTCCGTACAAACCTGTAGGTATATTTTAATAATTAATAAAAAATATTTTTTATTATATGATGTAACTAAAAATTTACGGTATTCGCAATTTTTCCTTTATCTGTACTATAAGACGTTACTTAGTACCAAATTACAAGATTCTAAGTTTACGAGAAGTACCCTGTAGGTTTTCATTCCCGTGCGAGTTTCGAAAATTTGCGCTGTATCTTTTGATTGCTTTGGCTTAGAAGTTTGATTTTTTCACAGCTCCAAGTGACAGTCGACCTGAGTATTAGATATGAATTTCAGTTTGATACCTCCACGTGTACCTTAGAAAAATGGTCTTGACAGACGGACGGACAACAAACACATGTACATTAATACACGTTACGAAAAGTATGATCGGGCGAGGCGAACGGGAGTTGAATGGGGGATATAAACAATACATACATAAGCACACTTTTTTTTTCTCGTAAAAATTTGTTTAAATTAAACTCACTGGTACGGCGCTTCCCCAGTCAACGCGAGTGAAGTGAGCAGCGAGGCCTGGAACCAGCCAGTGAGCTGATCTTGCCCCTCGCAGTACAAGCGGGCCCTCTTACCGCCCAGCGTCGACCAGGATATGCCGGAGTCGAACCAGATGTCCATTATGTCCTGAACAAACCCAATAGAAAATTTGTAGTACCAGGTGAAGAAGACAGAGGCGACAAAAAGGACATCAAACATCGATCAACTTTACACAGCTTATAGAGAAGCGTGGAAACAAATTCCGGTGGAAGCTTGTAAAAAATTGATCGCTTCCATTGCCCAAGAGATGTCGTGCTGTCATTTCTGCCAAAGGACATGCGACCAAATATTGATACGTACCGGAAAGTTTTATAAATGTGTTAGGAATATTGTGACTTAATATGACGTGTGACGGAATATTGTAATAAAGACAATAGGGGTGATGACCGGGTACAGTAAACGAAATTCTATTTAGTCCGTCAGTTTGATGATCAAAAAATAATGGACACGTATTTTTTCTTTGGGCAATCAACCAAAAAATGACAAAGTTATAACTTAACGCGCTATAGCGCGTCAAAATTTGGGAGTAGGGGCTCGTGACGTCACTTTTGAGTGAATTTTCACTTATAAGCGTATTCAAACGTGACGTCATGCGACTTTTCAAATCAATTTATCTCTGCAATGTTTATATTATGTGAAAAAAGAAAAAATACATGTCCAATACTTTTTGATAATCTACCTGATAAACGAAGAAAAAGAAATAGTGATCATCCCTATTTCAATAATAACAATATTTTTTTTCAGCAAATCGAGTGTCTTTAATTAGCTTGGCCAGCTATAAATACGTTGAAAAAGTTTGTGTTCTGTTCCCATAGTGAGCAGTGTCTAAACTACTAACGAACACAACTATTTTTTGTCCCACATTGTAAGAATACAACGTGGTGTATAGTTTAATGACAATTACACTAGATTAAATACCAATTTTAGCTAATTTCAGTACCTTAAGTAAGTTTTTTGTGGTCAATTAGGAAGTGTCTTTAATTATGTGACCACCACTGTATATATACATATGTATATATTATCTCTCTATTGAAAACCTTGATGGCGCAAGTGGTAAGGGCGTTCGTCTGCGATCCTTGAAGTTAAGCAACTTTCCCAGTAGATTTTCGATTGGATGGGTGACCAAAAAAATACAATCTCGAGCTGCTCCGTGATTCGGAAGGCACGTTAAGCCGTTGCCCAGCTGCATCTGCAGTTATTAGCACCCACAGATCCTCACTAGGCCAGCATGGTGGTCATGGCCCAAACTCCCTATTCCATCCATAGGGGAAGGCCTGTGCCTCAGCAGTGACGACATTAACAGGCTGATCATGATGATGATGAAATAGTCTATTAGCCCTCCATACCCTAACTATGAGGAAATAGCTGAGTTGCCACCTCCTCGCTACCAACTTCTCCGCAACGTCCCGCGTCGTGCTAAACACCAGAAAGGTGCTAGTGTCGCCAGTAATTGCTTTATGTAGCAGCCAACGGTCTACTTCAGCATCAAAATTTTGATACCAAAGCACCTTTTGATGCTGATGATTTTTGTCACACCTGTCCTTTAGTGACGTCATCAAGCAATTTATACTCTTCCACCACGTCGTCTGGCAACAACTCGGTGACGTCACAAGTCCACCACGCGTCTGGGCCTTTGGCTTCGATCAAAGAACAAAGCCTGTCAATCACGCGCCTGGAAAAGACAAACTTATATCGATGTGGCAAGGACGAAATTCATACTAAGCCAGTGTTACAAGACACACTGGCTTAATAGGCAGAGAGAATAGAGCGCCATAAGGCACGGTCCGTACACACATCTTTCAATATTACAATTTAGTGATTTTGAGCTTTATGCGTACGTGGTAAAAGCAATTTTTTGTCGCGCGTGAATCAATGAAACACTTATAGTATTTTTTTTTCAAAACAACACACAACATTTAGCCTAGCCCCAAAGTAGGCACTGTAAGGCTTGTGTTATGGCATGCTAGGGTAACGGATAGAATACATACACTGTACATATATAAGTATATTTATATAGAAATAAATATTTTACATCCATGACTAGAGTACAAATGCTCGTATTAATCACACAAACATTTGCCCCCATCGGGATTCGAACCCGGGACCTCTCAAATAGGCGACACCTTGAAACCCGGCGTACAAACCACTCGGCCACGAAGGTCGAAGGGAAAAGAAGCAACGGCCCAATATCCACTGATAATGACCCTTAAAAAGTGGCTTGAAGAAGCAAAATGCAGGCCGACTAGGTGAGGATGACTGGTGTGGCAGGTAGGACTGCTGTAGCAGCTATCTTCACGTCTGGACTTCACCGTCACTTAACATCAAGTGGGGTGGAGTCATTCGTCGGACCTATCTATAAAAAAAATATCATATTTTTGATTTTTCTATTTTCTACTCAATAAGTATCTCTATTCAACACCGAACTCTGTTAATACTGGTTTGATGATAAAATCAAGAAGATTAATAAAATTGTAAAGACAAAAGAGAACTAACTCAATAGGGGTGATGACGGGGTACAGTAAACGAAATTCTATTTAGTCCGTCGGTTAGATGATCAAAAAATAATGGACACGTATTTTTTCTTTGGGCAAATTGGGCAATATAGCGCTTCAAAGTTTGGGAGTAGGGGCTCGTGACGTCACTTTTAAGTGAAAATTGTACCAAAACGTGACGTCATGCGATTTTTCAAATCAATATATCTCTGCAATGTTTATATTATGTGAAAAAAGAAAAAATACGTGTCCAATACTTTTTGATAATCTACCTGATAAACGAAGAAAAAAAATATTCATCATCCCTATTGAATTTGTTTACCATGGGTCAATGACAAAACAAATGAAACGTTTTTGTTCTCGTGTAAAGTTATGTTTTCGTAGATAGTAGGTATTGGATATTTACCATCAATGTCCCCACTGCTGGGGCACAAACCTTCCCTATGGATGGAATAGGGAGATCGGGCCATGACCCACCACGCGAGCCCAGTGCGGATTGGCGGAAACTAATGACTGCAGATCCAGCCGGGACCAACGGCTTAACGTGCCTTCCGAAGCACGTAGGAACTCAAGATAGAAGATTTTTTAACACCCATCCAATGACCGACCACTGCGAAAATTGCTTAACTTCAACGATCGCAGCTGAACGCGCTAACTACCCGCGAGTTCGAATTTTTTCTATTGAAGTATTGTGTCCGTTTGCAACCTGTACCATCAATATGAGTTATATAACATTGTATGTCACTCACAGGTCTACAATGACGTCATGCCCCCCATATAGGGCTGGGATGGGCACGCCCCAAGCCCTCTGCCTCGATATGCACCAATACGGCCTCTGCTGCAGCAACCCACGGAACCCACGACGCGACTGTTCAGCACTAGAGATCGGTAAGACCGATATGTTCTCTAGAGCACCCTGTATGTAAGTAATTATAATTTATGGTATTAAATATATCTTACACTCACACCTATAAGCCTAGCCCCAAAATAAGAACGCGTATTGCGTCCTCCCCCGGTAGCGAAAGTTGCAGGTTCGAATCCTGGTCCAAGTGATATTTTTTCTACAATTTTTTTATTTAGATTTCTAAATGTAGCAGTTAAATGATTAAAATAAAAATTTCCTAAGTATAGAGAAAACTTACCAAAGCCTTTTCCTTCAGCGCCTCAGTGTCGATAAACCACTGCTGGCTCGCCCTGACGATGACCGGCTTCTTGGTCCTCCAGTCCAGGGGGTAAGAGTGCTCGTACACCCCCTGGTGAAGCACCGACTCTCCTAACCTGGTGATCACCAGCTCCTGACCTTCCCCGAGTACTGGGAGACCGTTCAGCTCACTGTCCAAGTTCACGTAACGACCGGACTCGTCTACGTCACATTGCTGGCAAAATCAAATATTAAAACCTTAGATTAAAACAAAAAAAGGAAGATACGGTACGCTCATTCTAGCATCAAATAAAATATGATCCGACTCAACTACATAAGCAACTCTCACACACGCATACGTCTGTAAATAAACATTAAATCGAGCGAGCGAGACAGAACTGTACGCTTCAAGGCAGCGCGAGCGAAACGGCGAGAGTCTGCGTCCGAGTCTGTAATGTTGTCCTTTTCTTGATAACAAAATGGCGATTACGTAAATAACATTAACGACAAACCATGATGTATGAGAAAATATTGTTTTTACAGTTTTACGAACGAAAAGTGATGCCGAGGCATTTGATATTTGGTTAGCAAGGTAGGCAAACGCACCCATGCCGCGACGTAAAAATTTTTTCATCCAAAAAGAGGTTTCCCGATATTTTTTTCCCGCGTACCCCTTCAACAAAGCGCGGCATCTCTTCAGTCTCAGGTCCATTAGACGAGCATTTAAACGATGTCCTGTTTTTCTTCGATATGCCCGAAGCCCTAAGTCTTTATTTAACACCCTTTTCACCGTGGTTCTGCTTAACCCCATCTGAAGGACCAACAGTTTCTGCTTACGTTTGGGATTTCTTTAAATTCAAGCCTTCACAGCTTTTATCACTGCTGGAGTCCTAACAGACCGAGGGCGACCACTTCTTGACCTGTCATCTACACTAGAGTCTTCATTGTATCGTGTGATGGTACGATAAACGAATCTTTTGGTTATATTAAAATTTTTCAGTATGTCAAAAATTTGAATTGGCGCGTAACCGCAACGATGCCACGCAATAACTGCAACACGGTCTTCTTTAAGCGTCCATTCCATATTCAAAAATGAGTAAAATTCTAAAAAGTATACATTTTATTTTCATGAACAATTCGAAATTCGAATTCAATAAACTTTTTTGTGGCCAGCATTCTAAAAGAAAAGTTTTTACTGTGTGACAATACTTATGACCTGACTGTGTAGTTCTTAGTTATTTTTGTTGCTTCTTTTTTCCAGGATACTTGAGTTAGGTATTCAGGTGTTCATAATCGTTAAAAAAATTAGTAGTAGAAGGTTTATACCTGTGGTCTATAGGAGTGAGCGATTGCCTTCGTCTATCTACATACAATGTAATAGAGGTTTTTTTTTATATTTCCTTCCTTAAAAGTCACTTTCTAATTTTTGTAGTTATATATTAGTAATTAGGGCACTGTTACGAATAAAACAACAGAAAACAATTCTTATAATTATGAATTGAGGAAGAATTAATCAACAATGGAAACAAAGATAGTTGCCTATGTCTTTAAAACAAAATTAAAATAAAGTATGACACAATTATAAATATACATTTGTAAGTTTTAAGAAACATGTAAAATAGAATAATAATCAACATTAATAAACGAATATAAACAAAATAAATAACCATGCAGAATCATCAATTAAATAACAAATCGTTTTAATTTTCGCTTTAGAAATCTGAACAGAACGAAAATATTTAATTATTTGGAGTTTACTCCTTAAGAATCGATTTGCATATATAAGGGGCCCGGTATGAGAAAAATGTGAGGAGTAAAATCTATCGATGAATGACATTAATGACCTCGTTACGTTTTTGTGCGCAACCTCATCTGCGCACCTTTCACTTTTAGCCATGGCAACGGATAAAAAACATTAAGTTGTCACAAATGTCATTAAAAAAAATAAACTAAAAATAGATAAAATCGGAGCAAAATTAATGAAAACAAATAAATAACAGAATATAGAGAAATGCCGGTAAGTGTCCAGCACTCTGCAATAGTGATTTTCAGTACAGATGGAATTATAATACATATTTACAAAATGATGACTAGTGTGTGATATTTTTGAAATTGTGTGTTTCCAGAAATACAAAATAAAATATATGATGAATATCGCTGATGTTAGATGATAAAATGTGTGACATGGAACCTATGATAGTCGAAACCATGGGACGATTCCTGAGGTATCTCTACTTGTGACCGACTTCTTCGGACTTGATTTTATTTTGTGTCTGTCCAAAGACAATCGTTTTTAGAGTGTAAACTCCGGTCGTGCGTCGGAGCTGACACACACAATTTCACACTTTCATTCATTTTAATTCAAAAATACTTCTGTTTCCAACAGTATTGCCTCAAGTTTCCTGTCAAAAACGGGTGTTTTAAAACGGATGCTTCCCGCCGGGGGCGTCGCGGAATGAGTGCGTAACGGCTGGACCCTATCTAACTACTTAAAATTTAAAATAATGACTTAAACTCCATTATTTAATTTTGACAACAAGCATCACTACACTAGTCGCTAGCTAAATCCTGCTTGAAACTACTTGAGAACATTAATATTTGCGCCAGAATTAGCGCTTTCTTCCTAATTGGTTCTCTGCTACCTACTTTGATTACTTACTAACTACTATTTTTTATATCATCTTCCCATCTTGTAAAATATCCATCATTCCTCTTGCCATCTCTTGGATTTGATTATAATTATGACATTACTAGCTTCCACCCGCGACTTTGCCCCGATAACTTTAGATTTTTAATCTTACATTGTTCCAGGATAAAAAGAATCCTAAGTCTCAATTCAGATAAAAACATATAGTGCCAAATGTGTTCAACATTTTTGCGTTATTGCAAGTACACAAACTTTCGCATAAAATTTTAGTAGGATATACTCACGACTTCCATATTATTCCTGATGGCCACTAGAAAGTCGTCGGGCCCGTGCGCAGGCGCCGTGTGTACGAGCCCCGTGCCTTTCCCAGACGTCACGTGGTCACCAGCGAGAAACGGCAAACCATCTCTCACTAGCTTGTTATTGTATGTGCAATGTTGTAGTTCCTGTCCTACGGGGAAAATCTCTGGTTTGTATAATAACATTTTTATAAAGATCATTTTAATCTGATTTAAAATGATCTTTATAAAAATGTTATCATACGAGAAGCATGCGGAGTTTTTAAACTTAACCAGAAGCTATGGAAACTCCTTTTTGTATTTTTAAATTGAAGTTGAATGTTTGAGTAAATCCTGCTAAAAACTAAAGTTCCAACTTTCAAGCCTTTTTTGAGTAACTTCAAGTAATTTCAGGAAGCTGAGTTATTTTTTTTATTAAAACTACATTCAAGACTACTATGTCACAAAAAAAACTGCAAAATACCAACTACGAAAAAAGATATGAATTTTTTAAACCTTGCTTGCAGAAATCATTAAAAATACACAAAAAAATTATAACTCGTAACTAAACAAAATCACGGAACATACTCGTACATGGGGTATTTTCGGATACCCCCAGGTGCGACGAATCTAAAAAAATTTGTTGGCGTCACTAGTTGGACCACCCTGTATATAAACATCCATGACTTTCCAAGTACAAATGCTCGTATTCATCATACTAACTTTTACTCCCACAGGGATTCGAATTTGGGACCACTGAGTAGCCAACACCATGAAACCCGGCGTATATACCATTCGGCCGCCACGAAGGTCGTCAAGTGACGCCGACAAGTCAACTAGTCATCCAATCGATCAGTACAGGAGAAATAGAATGATGCAGACCAGCTGTTTTGTTATCCACTTACCAGATCACGTATCTTCTTAACTAGACTCCACACATGCTCAATACCACATGGAGTGGTGTAGTTTGCTAGACCTTGTAACAGTAAATTTCCTCAACATAAACAAACTTTTTTTTTTACAAACTTACCATCAAACTCAGCGACTTTATTTATCTCCGTGGCCAAAATCTTCTCCAACCCTTCAATGAGATCACTGCCCATCAGGAACAAGCCACCAGGTCGACAACCCAGAGTGACCAAGCTATACTTCAACTGTCCGCTGTAGCAGATGGCATGGTTCGCGACCAGAGTCCACGGGGTTGTTGTCCAAATAATAGCTGACACTTTTTGCCTAAATGACAGATAAGAATAACTAATAGAGTATTATTTTTACGGAATAGAATTGAATTCATTGTTGTTGATTGTAAATTATTTACATTCAAAAACTATGATTTAATGGTAAAGAATGATTGCATAATTTTTATAGAACTTGATGTGTTAAGAAAAGTTCTTCATTACTTAGACAAGCTCTACTTAGACATAGAGCAAGGGCGTCGCCAAGGGGAGGGGCAGGGGGAGGGCAGTTGCCCCCTAGAGATCAAATGTAGCTAGCCGTAAACAACCAAAGTGCGTGCAATTAACTTCCTTATATTGCCCCATTGCCCCCCCCCCCCCCCCTCCTTAGTCACAAGCTGGCGACGCCCTTGACATAGAGTAACATAGTATTTTGAATTTTCCACTTGTTAAATATAAACAATATTTGTGGGAGGCCCATGCTCATTAGACCATTGTATGACTAAATGATGTTAAAGTTAGTAGGAAAAAATATTAAATGATTAAAAAACGTTTTAATAAGTCAATTTTAATAAAGTATAATTTTATTTCATTTCATTTCACCAAACACTCAACTCTGTAGAATCTTACCCAGCGGCCGCCTCCTGTATCTTGGTGGACATCTTCTCAACAGGGAATGCAACATAAACCTCCTTGCTTTTGAACTTTGGGTCATATTCCAGTTCAGCTTCTGCCAATGCAGTCCTGTAATTAATAATTTTATATTTCATTATGGAATACAACATCTTGAAAAAATTTTCTTCTATTTAAACTACCCCAAGTTTTTTTATTTTTAAAATAAATATTTTTCTTCTTTTACAGGAAAATATTTAGGCAGCTGAATTTGTAACAACATATAAAATTGATATCCAGCTAACCTAAATTACAAAATAGCTAGGAAATGTTGATTTCATAAGAAGATTCAATTTAAAAATACATTGGCCTAAAAATTAGTTTTAAAAGAAGGTTACATTATAATTAATAAATGCCCAAATAATTATGTTACACTAAAACCATCAAAATACACATTTCACTAACTCTTTTGTCTGTATTAAAACAAACAAAAAAGTTTAGTCATACAAAAGTCTTTTTTTCACTCTAGCATTATCTAGATTGCAAATTCTCACTCACTTGGATGATGGAGACCAGTAAACGGGCTTGAGTGCTCTATAAATCAAGCCTGACTTGAACATTTTGTAAAATTGCCTTAGCTGATTTTGAACATAGTTTTTATTCAAAGTCAAATAACACTGATTCTCCCAATCTGCCATAACACCCCAACTTTTGAAGGATTCCTTCTGATTTTCCACAGTTTCTAATGCAAAATTGCGGGCCAATTCTCTTATTAGGACATGATTTGTGACTTCTCCACCCTTTAATGTTTTTCTAGCCTTTTGTAGGGCTTTGAGCTCTATTGGTAAGCCATGGCAATCCCAACCTGGAACATAGTGCACTTTGTTCCCTTGTAATACTTGGCTTCTGTTGTTAATATCTTTTATAATCTAAAACATAACATTTATTGCATAAACTAACAATGCTTAAAAGAAAAACATGTTATTAGTGGTTTGTAGATGTATTATGCACATTTGCTGTGACTTACCTTATTGACTGCATGACCCATGTGCAGATCGCCATTCGCATAAGGTGGCCCATCGTGTAATACAAATTCTGGACCACCTAAATGCTTTCTCTGCCAATTATATAGTTCTGCGAACTGGGCCAACTGTAATGAAATAAACAAAGTTTTTAGTCAAATTCAAAGAAGAATAAGGACGAATATGGAGATTTTGTAAAACAAAAAACCTTTGCTAGTCTATCTTCATTGTAGAAAATACTGTTTTCTTGATAAATACCTTCTGAATTTCTTCTTTTGTAGCATTATTAGATCGGGCCGGGAAATTTGTTTTAGGCGAAAGAATAGTATGTGAATAAGCTTTTTTTCCTGGTTCTATTGAACTTTTTGTGCGAATACAATCTAGGCAACTTGAATTAAAAACCCTTTTCCTATTAATTAAATTTAAAATATTGGGATTTCTTTGAAAAAACATTTTTTTAGGTTATATTTTTAGGTTATTTGTACTACAACAGCAAATGTCAGTATGACATTGGACTGACAAAGAAAATCAAGTTCATTCATCCTTGTTTAATATCTCTCTCGTCCTGTTTGCCATTAGACTGCGGGACATAACTAATTCTTACGTCTTGAAGTATTTAGTATATCGTCAGTCAGTGGAAAGGAAAAGTCGCTTAAACGCCACTTTAGTAACTTGACAGAAAAGAGGACCAAAGTTTTTTTTTCACAAAAAGTCAGGAAGTGGCGCAGAGGAGGTCAGCGCCAGTGCTGAGTAACCAGGCTTGTAGTGCCGCCGGTGAAAATGTTTTTATTTATAAGTTTCCTTAACTTCAAATATAGGATTCTAGGAGCCGGCAGAGTTTCCCTGGGGGAAAGCAAAACTCAGTGCCCTACTTTTCACAAAAAAAATACGTTATAAAGGGTACGATTGAGACAGTCCCGAGGATTCGGATGCAGCCTCAATGCGTACGTAAATCCCAGGGGGTCGGAAGTATCCGACTCGGAATCTTCATCTAACCAAATCGACAATCAATACTTATACTCGAAAGTAAAGTAAACAATAGCGCGACGCCGACCTCCTCCTCTGAATTTATTGTTTTCGTTTCAATAAAGATAAACAGTGTTTAAATTCCAACATTAAATCATTTGCGTCTTCTTAAATGTTAAGTATATTTGTTTTTTTTTTTCGCCAAAATGGACAAAGAAACATAATTTACAATTATGGAAACTATGATAGTTTTAGTGACCTCGAACTAGTACCTACTGGATTTCGAAGTTGTTACAATACATAACTCATTTTCAACCAAAGTGGCGTTTAAGCGATTTTGCCTTTCCACTGTCGATATTATATCGATTCAACACTCTCGTTTGACGAAGTAATACCAAAAAAATCTCAATGGTCATAAAATTACAAGTAAGAAAAAAATTAAGATAAGGCTGCACAAAATTGGCTTCCTTTATCTTCAAAAAGAAAAAAATGACAAAAAACAGTCATTATTGTTTCTTTTTGACGTTTATGTTATCAAAACAACACATGTTTTTCTATTTTGTTCACAAAATTGTATAATTGTGCTTTCTTTTCATAATTAATTTAAGCAAAAATGGTGAGAACAAACATATATTCATTGGAAAGAATATATAATCTTCTTCTTTTATTTTAACTCGTAATTATTTTTTGTAGCCAAAAGCTAAGAAGAAGTTCATAGATCGAAAGAAGGCAGTTACCTTCAATTTAGTGCACCGTTCCCAAAGGGATCCCCTCGCAGCCGATGAAACTGCCCCGCAGAGGGTTTTAGTGCCTGTCAATGCAGCTGTTCCATCACGAAAAGAGAAAGACCTAGTAAGTGAAATAACCTACAATCACAAGTACTTTTTGATTGTTTTCAAAGTTATACGCTTAGAAAGTAATTAATATATTTGATATCTTTCAAGGACCTAACCCCTGATCAGCGCAAAGAAGAACAGATGAAATATGGCATATTTTTCGATGATGATTATAACTATCTACAACATCTTAAAGATACCCGAGAAGTCACCATGGTGCTTCAGCCTGTAAGATTACTTTAGACTTTATTTGTTAATTTAAATTACAATAGTTTAAAACTACTTAATGTCTATAAACTTGAAAATAGAATTATCTTAAAACTTACATAACTAAATTATTCAAAATTTACAAAATAAAAAATATATCACTCCTATGCCGCCTTCAGGAATGGTGCCCAATAGGCTGGCAGCATTTCCTCGTTGAATTGCAAGGCTGATCCCTTGACCAGGGTAGCTGCCAGCCTTTTGATCACCAGTCACTTCTGTGAGTTTCTTAGATGAATAGACTTAAATAATAAATGTCAACTACTGGACTATTTCTTTTACAAATCTTAAAAAACATTTTTTTTACTATATCTATATCCTGTGACTACATTAAAAGGGGAACTGAAAATAATTTTGGTACACAGCTTATATTAGAAGTAAAGATTTCACTTAATATGCATACTTTATTATAGCTATCAATGTTATATTTTGGACTACAAAATGTTATTTGGAAATAAGTACAGTAGATCTGCGGTAATCCGACAAACGTTTTGCAGGGAGATGTCGGATTATCGAATTTGCCAAGAAAACTCAGGCATACGCATTTACGGCAAAAACATCGCCATTCCTTCCCCTTCCCTCTCTTCAGGGCACAACACTACCGCTACAGAGCAACATTTCCATGCTCGGTATGGAAGTTCGCTTAGACCTGAATCCAAAGAACTCCATCGAAACTGTGATCAAGACAGCTTCACGCAAACTCGAAGTCCTAAATAAGGTGCGGCGTTTTTTCACGCCTGATCAACTGAGCTTGTTGTACAAAACGCAAGTGCGGTCCTGCGTGGAATATTGCTCGCACCTCTGGGATGGCTCCGCCAAGTACTTGCTCGATGCTTTGGATAGGTTACAGCGGCGCGCGATCCGCATCATAGGCGATGAGGAGGTGACTAAACACCTTGAGCCTCTTCAATTACGCCGTGACGTGGCGTCACTAATCGCGTTCTATCGTCTGTACCACGGCGAGTGTTCTGAGGAATTATTCTCTCTTATCCCACCTTCTGCTTTCCTTCAGAGGACCACGCGCGCTGGCCTACGTTGTCACCGTCTAACTGTGGCCACAATTCCAACGCGTACAAAGAAATTTGGTGACTCATTTCTTTGTCGCACTATCCGTAAACGGAATGCTCTGCCCGCTCACGTGTTCCCTCTTACAACCTGGGATCCTTTAAAAGAGGCGTGAAGAAGCAACATGCAGGCCGGCAGGGTGAGGATGGCTGATGTGGCAGGTAAAACTGCTGTATCAGCTATCTTCACGTCTGGATTTCACCTTCACTTAACATCAGGTGGGGTGGAGTCATTTGTCGGTCCTATCTTTAAAAAAAAATATAGTCTCTATAGTCCGGATTTTTTTGGAATAAGAGTACCTTGTAATCCGACAAATCTAAAAATGTATTTCAATTTATTTTATGTGTAAATCAACAGTGATAAGCGTGTCGGATTACAGGGGGGGGGGCCGGATTAGACCGGGTCCGGATTACCGCGGCTCTACTGTATTGTACTTCTTGTTATTGAATGATTTTATAGAAATCCACACACAAGAGAAAGGAAAAAGCAGAAGTGACAGACAAGATTGATGATACAGAGGACTCAAAATCGGTAACGGAAACATTGCAACTGCCAAGTTCTGTGTTCGCTTCGGAAGTGGAGGAAGATGTTGGTCTACTAAATAAAGCTGCATCACAAGGTAAATATGTAGTGACGGTTGCAGAACCCTATACCTTATCATATGGACAAGGCTTAAACCCAAAAATATAAACAAAAACCGAATACAACATAATTATTTAAATCAGAAAAAAATGAAACAAAATGACAAAAAATCCTGGAAAGGTGCAAATACAAAATGGTGTGGTGGCCTATAAAAAGGTTTAAATTTTAATTACTAAAACATGTATTCTGTCTAGTCATCATCATCATCAGCCTATTAATGTCCCCACTACTGGGGCACAGGCATTCCCTATGGATGGAATAGGGAGATTGGGCCATGACTAACCATGCAGGCCCAGTGCGGATTGTTCTGTTCTGTCCAGTGATAAGTGAAAATTCATAAGACAAAAATTCTGCCCTGATAAGCAAAAAAGCGGTATCTCAATCAGAGTAAGATTTGAGAAAATCACCTTTTTTTAATTGAGAAACCACTTTTCGTCTTATCAGGGCACTATCGTCGGTATTAATGTAATATAAAAAATATTCAGTCTACTTTGCTTCTAATATTTAAAAGACAACATTTTTAAGAGAATAGCAGCTTACCAGCTACTTATAGGCAAAAAAAAAACAACTTTGCTGAAACAAAATCCATTAAATAAATCCATTATATGACTAAATATTTATATTTATAATAAGGACTGAGAGATGACAAATCTCTCAGTCCTTATCATGCTTTATGTAGAATGAAAAAGATTTACTGACTGATTTCAAGTTGACAAATGGCAAACATGAATAGCCAAGTGAAGTGCTGACATGAGAAAATTTATGTATACTAGCAGAATTTCTTTACAATTTTATTCAATACTTATGTTACATAATGTCCACAGGATTGTGTCTAGAGCTAGACCCTGATGTGGTGGCTGCACTGGACGAGGACTTCGACTTTGATGATCCTGATAACGAGCTCGAGGATAACTTCATCGAACTTGCTATGGGCGAAGGTAATATGATAATACTTAATCATAGATGAGTTCCAAATTGCAAATAAAAAGCAATTCCGTTTGGTCAAATTGAGAATTACTTCCTAGTGTAACGTCTATTAAAAGAATAAATCGGTATATAATACTTTTTCTCACACATAAACACTATGTTTTGGCATTTTATTATAGTTCTATTGGTATAAATTTCTATGACATAAAATCATAATTTTTGCTATAAAGGTATAGGTACAGTCACTTTTCTGCTTCCATTAAATGATTTTATTCTATGAAAAATGATAATTTTATATAAAAAGATTATTTACTTCTGGATTACAACCAGTACCCTTAGTACGAGTTTGAGCTCACAAAAACAATCATAGTTTTCGTAATTGTAAATTATGTTTCTATGTCAATTTTGGTGAAAACTAACCATATATACCTACTTAAAATTTAAGAAGACGCAAATGATTTAATGATAGAATTTAAACACTGTTTATTTGTATTAAAACAAAAACTCTGTACCCTTAGTACAAGTGCAAGCTCACGAAAACTATCATAGTTTACGTAATTCTCTCGTACTAAGGGTACAGATCCAGATTATAGAAATATTCAGGCTCACCTTATTTTAGGATCCGGTGATGATGATGGTGAAGATGATGAACAGGACAGTGACGGCGACAGCATGTCTGATGGAGGTGACTCAGAAAAAGCATTCGCCTCAGATTTAGACTCAGATGATGAGAGTGATCAACAGGTAGATGATGATATATTTCTCTATCCATACTAATATTATAAATGGTCTGTTTCCTCCCGCCTAAACCATTGAAAAAATTTGGTATAGAGATAGTTTTAATCCTAGAAATCAACTTTTAAGAGGTTGAAAAGGGGGGTGGGCGAAAGCTTGTATGGTAAACTATTTTTTTCACGCAGATAAAGTCGTAGACAAACAAACTAGTGGGTTCGTTTATTATAACAACAATTTGTACCAGTTTAGTAGATGAAATTTGGCAAAATGAATATTATTAAATAAAAATAAAAAATAAATATTTATTTTTTAAATTTTCTTTTAGAAAGGAGGCAGGATGCCTACGTGGGACAAGGACGATACGAAGTCCCGTTTCTCGCAGTACTCAATGTCTTCGAGCGTGATCCACCGAAACCAGGGTTTGAGTTTGCTTGACGGGAGATTCGAGAAGGTATGAGATTGGTACTATTATTTAGCAAAAAAAAGTGTAGCGAAATTAATCCAGCTGTTTATAAGATATGTGCTTACCAACACGCAAAATAATATAATAACAGAATACCAATGCAGCGGGAACTATACCTGCTGTGTATGCTGAGCTATATCCAGTGTTTTTGGCATCACATAAAATACTCGATATAAATGTCATAGCTTACATTGTTCAGATGTTCGCTGAATACGACGACACTGAAGTAGGCGCGTTAGACCTGGAAGACATAGAAGGCTTCATGCCAGAGAGTCACGATATGCTGCTGCGAGCCGCTGAGGAGTTCGAGGAGTCCCGCAGAAGATACCAGCTTGAAAGAGACAAGGAGATCTCAAGGTGAGAAAACTCAAGGTGAGCCTATTAATGGCCCCACTGCTGGGGCACGGTCTTTTCCTATGGGAGGAATATAGGCCATGACCCACCAAGCGGTCCCGTTGATGAGTGCCAACTTTTGCAGATGCAGTCGTGACCAACAGCTCATCGTGCCTTCCGAAGCACGCAGGAGTGACAGATAATAAGTTTTTGGTCACCCATCCAATGAGCGACCACTGCGAAAGTTGCTTAACTTTTACAATCACAAATCGAATTCGCTAAGCACTTGCATCATCAAGCTCCTTGTTGTTATTATAGTTATAATGTTCTCTCTAGCCATGGTTTTAGAATGCCAAATCTTACCTGTACCCATAGCACGAACCAATATCGAATTCGTAACGTTTGCGAGTCCGAAATTTCATTGTCAAATGTGTACTGATTTTTAGTTCTCGTTACGTACTTTGTGCCGCTTCTGTTCAAGTTTCCGTACAAAATTTGACATTGTACATTGGTACTGGTCAGTTAATTAGATTAAAGAGAAAAATTACTGCAGCTGCTACTGGAACCAAAGGTTTAAAAGCGGACGCGAGCTGAGAGACATTGAGAAATATGTATTTGAAAAAACTATTGCTGTCACGCAACGGCAAATACCGTGTGATAGGGACAAAAGTAACTAACGCTGAAAATTGCGTATAAAAATTGCAAAATTCGAGATTTGGCTGTCGACGCTTTCCTTCTCGAAAAATAGATAAATTTTACCAATAGAAAATTGTAATTTTGTCATCAGAATGAGACAGCTGGAAGAGATATCCGAGGAGTCTGAAGATGATCTGGTGACGGTGGAAGTCCAGCCCAAGGAGCGGTGGGACTGCGAAAGCATTCTGTCCACTTACTCCAACCTTTATAACCATCCCAAGCTTATAGAAGAACCTAAAGTGAGTATGAACATAAGTTATAAAATTCAAGTTCATCAGTCGGGCCATAACCCACCACGCGGGCCCAGTGCGGCTTAAGCAACTTTCGCAGAGATCGGTCATTGGATGGGTGACCAAAAATCTTCTATCTCGAGCTCCTCCGTGCTTCGGAAGACACGTTAAGCCGTTGGTCCCGGCTGCACCTGCAGTCATCAATCTGCACTGGGCCCGCGTGGTGGCCCAATCTCCCTATTCCATCCATAGGGAAGGCCTGTGCTCCAGCAGTGGGGACATTAATAGGCTGATGATGATGATGAATAATGAAAACTATGTTCTTTATTTTTAGCGCCCCAAAATACAGATCAACCCCAAAACCGGCATACCAAAAGATACGTTAGGCAAAGACAACAAGCTTACAGTGAAGTCACTGGCAAAGTTTAATGCCCTCAACGAATCAGCTGATCAAGACTCAGACGAAGATGGAAGGACTCACGCAGAATCTGTGCTGTCTATACTCAGCGTACTTTCTATTAGGTGAGATAATATTATTTCAATTTACAAAAAATCCTGTGCTCCCTACCCTCTGATTATATACACGCTTAATCCAAGCTATGTGTTAATCCAAGGTGTCAGCTAACTCCGTACCAAAATTTACTTAAATCTCTTTAGCCGTTTAAACGCGAAGAAGTAACAAACATACACACTCACAAACTTTCGCCTTTATAATAGTGCCTTTATATAAGTGTGATTTTCCAACAAGGTTCTTTCAGTACCAACTTTGTCTTATGATTGTTGCAGGCCTAAAGACGAAAAGGCAGAAGAAAAGAAGGAGAGGAAACGACTATTGAAAGAGTACAGAAAAGAAAGAAGAATTGAGAAGAAAGCCAACAAAGAGGCGTTCAAAGAAGAGAAGAAACGCCAAGAGAAAATAATGCTGAATAACAGAAATAACGTGCAAGGCAACAAGATATGCTGAAATTTAATTTAAGCACATAAAATTAGACTTTAAACGCTGTACTCAGAGACTTTAAAATGGCGTGTTTTATTTTTTACAAGGTTTATTCTGTCTTGTTCTATTGTTACCGCAAAGAAAGTAACTGAATCTTTGGTTAAAGTTGGTGCCAGTCACTTTTAAAATTTTAAGTTGGCTGACGTTAATGAGTTACTGTAAGAAAATCCTTTATAAATTTAGATTTTATTTGTAAAGTATATTTTCTATTAATAAATGTTAGTGATAAGAACTCTTGTTTTTTTCTAATCAAAATACTTTCTACCTCGTATAATCCCTTATGGCAAAACAACATTAAAAGAATACCTTTATGTTGTCGATATATTGCTTTAAACTTTGATGGTCACCAACATTATAGTAATTTGTTATTTACGGGAACTATACCATGTACCTTGTTTTTAGCGAGTTTCCGATAGTTCGGCACTGTTGCAAGCGCCATGATCGAGCGTAATAAAAGACTTCGTCGGAGGGTAGACCGATATGTCTGCCCATAACAGCCTACCCGCAATTACTTCGGTTACTCCGTGATCATGGCGCTTGCAACAGTGCCGAAATATCGGAAACTCGTTAAAAACAAGGTACATGGTAACAATCTCGTAAATAACAAATTACTATTTATGGTCGGTCATTGGATGGGTGACCAAAAATCTTCTATCTCGAGTTCCTGCGTGCTTCGGAAGGCATGTTAAGCAGTTGGTCCTGGCTACATCTGCATTCATTATCATTAGCACCCGCTAATCTGTACTGGGCCCGCGTGGTGGATCATGGCCCAATCTCCCTATTCCATCCAAAGGAAGGCCTGTGCCCCAGCAGTGGGGACATTAATAGACTGATGATGATGCTGATGACTATTGATGTTGTCGGTTTTCCAATATAAATGAATCTGACTGAATATACCTAAATACTGTATTATAGCGTTTAGGTAGACAAGGAAATTTTAAAAAAGGTTAAAAGAAAACTTCAGTCAAACATTTAGATAACTAAATATTATTGCTTTTTAGTTTGATCAAACATATACAATTCATTATAACTAAAATATAAAAGCATGATTATCTACACACATTAAAAAATCTATCTTAATAAATAAAACAATAAAATATTTATTCAATATAATTAAAAACAAATGTACATAACTGGCAGATCTGTTTAGATACAAAGTACTTTTATATCACAAACGAATTTACCCCTCATTTTCACCAAGATATAATAATACAATAATAAATATTTCCAACACTCACACCAATTAGCCTAGCCCCAAAGTAAGCACTGTATGCTTGTGTTATGGGATACTAGGGTAACGGATAGAATACATATACTGTACATATATAATTATGTTTATATAGAAATACATATTAAACATCCATGACTGGAGTACAAATGCTGGTATTCAACACAAACATCAGCCCCCACCGGGATTCGAACCCGGGACCTCTCGAGTCGGCGACACCATGAAACCCGACGTACAAACCACTCGGCCACGGAGGTCATCAATCATAATACATGTATTAATAAAATTTAATACTATGTCGTAAGTTTTTGTCCACTCTTATATACATGTATAAAACATGTAGTATACAATACTTTCATCAAACTTATTGGATACATAAAATATGTGAAGTCAATAGTGATTTACACTTTTAAAGATACTCGTTGTCTATGCAGTGTTAACAACTATATTAAATACCCTAGATACACCAACACGAACAAAATCTTGCCCGAAACCTGTCCAAAAGGTACATTGAACGATCCATGGGGCTCCGTAAAATGATCGCGTAGTCAAAACCAATATAAGGCATTATTTAAATATTGAAAGTAACCTTTAATACATAGTATATTAGGTCTTCAATAAAACGCATGCGTCAAGGACTTCTGACAGTTCGAAATGCAAGCTCGTAAAATTTTACGACTTATTGCTATATGCGGAAGAATTTAGACCTTAGTTCTTTGACTCTACGCGCAATTCTGAACGCGCTGTTAGCAATATAGCAAGTACGGACCGCGACGAAAAGAGACGGCTATATGGCGACGTATAACCGACCATGCATTTGAATATCACAAATATTTTATATTAAATCAGTTTATAGTAAGTATTAGATCAAAAATTGATTCAAATGCGTTAAATTAACAAACATTGACAAGATACCATATCGTACTCTAAGTATTATTTTCGCATTTTTTCGCGTAGCTCTGTGTCATCTTGACTTTGTAACGGTCCGCGCATGACTTTGAACCAGGAAGTGCTTAAGTGGAGTTCGAGCACTTCTTGATTGGGACACATTTTGAGCGCTCGTGGTGTATCTAGGGTATTTAATATCGTTGAGTGTTAAAGAAAAAAATGTCATAACAAGTACTCTATAGCCCCCTTATAAATAAATAAATAAAAATTCAATGAACAGAGGCAAAACATGGAATAACTAATTCAAGCTCATTCTTCCTTTATTATTAATAGGGTACAAGTTTTGACTTGTATCTTGGTGTAAACGAGGGGTTAGGAATGTATGTTATTAAGTTTAAAAATTGAATTTACATTCCATTCTGTTTAATGAATACATAATTTCTCAACTGCTGGAATATTCCGTTGCAGTTACATTTATTTATAATAAACTAGGAGCCGCCTGCGAATTCGTCCGCGTCAACTTTAGCTTTTTGAGAAACCCCTGGGAACCTGACATTATTCCGGGATAAAAATATCCTATGTCTCATTCCAGATCACTAACTATATGCGTACCAAATTTCATCCAACTCCATTCAGTAGTAATTGATTAACACAAAAACAAACATTTATAATTGGTAGGATTATAACTTAATCGAAAAGTTTAGTTCACTTACTATCAATTCTGAAGGTAATTACAATAGTAATTGGTATTATTGTTACGATATTAGTTTAATAAATATACCATTTTTCAACTCGACTTGAAAATTCACAATTTAACGCAAACTTGATAGTTCAAGAAAAACTTTTCAACTATTTATTTGTTTACTTATAAAGTTACACGCAACAGTAATCTCCTCAGTGCGCAAAAACTTGCAAATATTCCGTGTGACCGTATATTATTATCAATATACCATAGTCACCATATTAACCTACCAAAATCTGACAACTTTATACGATTTTCAACTTAAATCCTAACAAATAGAATTCTAAATTGCCGGCATTTCGCTTGCCTATTCGTGTTTGCTATTTGTAAACATGGCATCAGTCTGTCCTTTTCATTCCTTATAGAGCATGATAAGGACAGACTGATGTCAAGTTTACAAATAGCAAATACGAATAGCAAACTAAAATGCCGGCATTAACGAACACTATTTGATAGATTTCGGTAGTTTTATCTGTTGCCCCCTTATTAATAAACAAGAAAGAAGCTTGGATTAGTGACGTCGTCACTTAAATGCCATTTATTATTCAATAGACAAAGACAAAACATGGAGTAACTGATCCAAGCGTAGTCATCATTTATTAATAAGCGGATTGGAGTGTATATAACTCGGCGAATATAGAAAAATAATTGCCTACTCGATTATTCCTGCTCATAGAAAGAATAGATGAAATAAATTGGCAACTTTCTAGAAATAGAGAAAGCGTCTGTGCAGCCAATACCTATACGAACTATTGACCGCACAATAGCTTCGTCTCTTTTACACTTATCTACACAATTTTACTTTGAATTAGAGCAGCGAACGGTCATAGCTTTTTCTTTATGAGTTATTATAATCCGCTAATGGTAAGCCATTACACCCAAAGAAATGCCAGTTGAAAATCTAAATGTTGGATACCTCCAAGGTAAAAAAAATACTTTTACTGTATATTCCAATTATGCTACAACGCTCACTCCGTTGTCTATGTCTGTGCGAGAGAGACAGAATATCTTGCATCGCCGTTTTCGATTCGCTATACCTCAACTAGCAAAGTTAAGACAGCACCAGCCCTTCGTAGCCTAAACCCTCAGGGTCGGGGCATTCCATTCTGTTCTTGATATGCTGGAGAGTGTTATGAAAGTGTTTAGTGATTTGCTCCACTTCTTCGGACTGGTCCAGGTTAGCCAACTCTTCGCGAATCTTCTGTATTACCTGAGAACAAATAAGAGAATTAGAATTTGAATAGGGTATTTGAAAAGTTTTAGAAAACGATCTCACGTTATTGACTAATGTTTATAGAGTCCACAAAAAGTGGATATTCATCATTATGTTGTGTGTTTCGGTAAAAAACTAAATCAAAAACTCTATTTTCAAATTGCCGCGAAAAACGTATCTCTGGACAATAGGGCGTCTCACTGGTGTGTGACGTCATATTAAGCTCCACCAATCCCAAGCGTTTTGGGTCACGTGACAAAAGACAAGAAAATGCTTGACTGGCAGAGAATGCTTTTAGCGTTAAGTCCGCCGTTTATCCGTTTTGTAATTGTGGCAATAAAGTTTAAATAAATAAATAAAGAAAACTATTATCTTTATCGTGGGTTTTAGTAAAATTATGAATATTTTTTCTGTAAAAATAGTAAAAACTCCTGCCATTATTCATTCTAAATACAGATGCTTACAATTGGCACTTTATTTTTAGTACTGTCAAATACCCTATTCTTTTCGATGGGTAAGGCGGTTAGCGTGGTCGGTACGGTCTGCGATTGGGAGAATTAAGCAACTTTTGCAATCACTTGGGATGGGTACCTTACCAAATATTTGCTATCCGCACTTCAAAAAACATTTCAAAATAAATCTATATATGTAAAACTCAAAGGTGACTGGACTGACTGACATAGTGATCTATCAACGCACAGCCCAAACCACTGGACGGATCGGGCTGAAATTTGGCATGCAGGTAGATGTTATGACGTAGGCATCCGCTAAGAAAGGATTTTGATCAATTCTACCCCCAAGGGGATAAAATAGGGAATGAAAGTTTGTATGAAACTTTGACAATTTTAAACCGATCGGGCTGAGACTTTGCATGCAGGTATAAGAAGAATCATAGATGAATGTCATTGTGTATAATACAATCCTGAGAACAAAATCTGTAGTCTACACCGCAGCGAAGGGAGGGCGGGCCACTAGTTATAATATAAATAGAAAGTATGAAACATACTGCTTCTATAAGGGCTGTCGTTAGTGCTGTATTTCCTCGCTCCCTCAGCAGCGCGTATCTGCCCAACAGTTCGGCCAATAGTTGAGCTTGGACACCTCCATCCATACATTGTTGAGCGACTCTTGCTGCCTTCTTCAAGCAGTCTAGCGCTCGACTGGCATCGTTGAGGGACCACTGTATAAGAAAAAGGGTATTTGACAAATGTTAGGTTCATGGAGTCCATAAAAAGTGGATATTTTTAATTCTGTCGTGTAATTCAGTAAAAAAACTAAATCAAAAATTCAATTTTCAAGTTGCCGCGAAAACGTTTCTCTGGACATTGTGACGTCTCAGTAGTATGTGACGCCACACGACTTGTCATTAAAACGTCAAACGATGCAATGTAATGTCACTTTGGCCGGGAGTTTACTAGCGTGTGACGTCATTTTAGTCTTGGCCAATCACAGGCGTTTTCGGTTCATTTCTATTTAAAGGAGCTAAAGACATGAAACTGGTAAAGTATTCTAGTTTGATTCCTATGTATACAGGGTTGGGACCATTCATACATTTCGGTCGATTAGCTGATGCACTTTTGGATGAAACGGCAGTTTTTTTTCGCGATTTCAGCGTTGGTCCCATAATAAAAGTTGTTCCTGTTGATGGGTAGAATCACCTCCTAAGAGGTTGTTGGTGTTTTAAAATTAACCCTGTATACATAGGAATCAAACTAGAATAATTTACTAGTTTCTTGTCTTCAGCTCATTTCCAGAGGCGATGAGTTCGCATCAGCTACGCGTTCTCATCACCTTTTATATCTATATACGAATCAAAGTATAATATTGTCACAAACGTTCTCGAAACGTAACCGCGAAAGTGCTAGAGATCGAATTTGTCAGATCACCACGGGTCGCGATGGAGGTCGAGTAATGCGGCTCATTCTAAAATGAGCCTTATGCAGTGCGGCGTAAGGGAGAAAGTGCAACGACATCTGCACTTGTTTACAAGTTATGCGCGTTACCTGCGTAGGTATAAGTAGGTACTTCGTACTCGCGGGTGCTAGCTAATTCTCAATGAGGGCTATCGCGTATGAATCCGCCGCTAGAGGCGCTAGTGTAGCGTGAGGTCTCCGAAATGTCAAATGTTATTGCTTGTTGGTTGACTACGCGGGTTTATTTCTTATTAAAATAATGTTGTCAATAATTGGTAACAATTCGGCTTAATTATGGCAAATATGAGTTATGTGGCAATGAATGTCAGTTATTAAAAATTTGAGCTTAGAAAAATGATTATGTTCCCATTTTTTCCGAATAAAACGGAACTGGGCGTCACTGTGGCATGGCCTATTATGTTTAGGATATGGTTCTTTTGTATTAAAATATGATGTAAATGTAACCTTTGATTTCATGTGCGTATTAATAAACTTTAAAAGTTACAATTTAGGACCTCACTCAACAGTGGCGCCATCTGGTGAGACAGAAAACGGTAGCCCTCATTGAACAAATACTTTCTAGAATGCATCGATCGGCGTGTATAAGCGCGATTGGCGCCGCGCAGAGACAGTTGAGTTTCAACAGCGATTTCGGAGCGAATCCAAAGGCGGTCAAAGTGCAACAAAAGTGTTCAAGTGCGATTGTTTAGAGACTTGTATAGTGAAATACAGTGTTTAGCGAGTGATTTGTAATTAACATTGTGTTAATTGTGTGAACTGAGTGGTGAATAAAGAATTGTGAAGCGTGAACTAGCATATAATTTCGAACCCCATCCCGACACGTAACAATACTTTACCAATTTTCCTTCTTTAGCTCCTTTCCAGAAGAGATGAGCACATAAAGCCACGGCCCTACTCTGGTCCGGCTTCTTGAGCAGTTTGCTAGCCGCTAATGCACATTGTGTGCGCATAGGCTCGGCGTTTTCAGCACCTTTAAAATTTATAACAAATTGATAAAAAAGAGGAGTTCGATGGCGCAAGTGGTTAGCGCCTTCGGCTGCGATCGTTGAAGTTAAGCAACTTTCGCAGTGGTCGGTCATTGGATGGGTGACCAAAAATTACTATCTCGAGGTTCTCCGTGCTTCGGAAGGCACGTTAAGCCGTTGGTCCCGGCTGCATCTGCAGTCGTTAGCACCCACCAATCCGCACTGGGCCCGCGTGGTGGGTCATGGCCCAATCTCCCTATTCCATCCATAGGGAAGGCCTGTGCCCCAGCAGTGGGGACATTAATAGGCTGATGCTGATGATGATATGATGATGATGATGATGATGATGATGATGATAAAAAGGAATGACGACGGAGAAAAGCAAACGATATTATATTAACTCCGTAAGTTAGATTATCAAAAAAAAAAGAGTGATAAGCACACTCGTTTTTCTATTCATTTGACATTGTGGGTTACCTACAATGCGAATAGATGGCGCTTCCTCGCAGCTTAAGAAAGGCTACAAAGAATTTGACACGGCCATCAGGGCCGCGGTAACATAATTGGTCAGTGCATTCGCCCGGTTAGCGGCGGGTGCGGGTTCGAGTCCCGTCACCTACCTGGTCCGTGTGGAATTTTTTCTAGTGATATTTTCTTTAGATTTAAACATCGAGCAGTTACTTAAAAATTAAATTATAAGTAATGGTAATGTGCTGAAATTGATGACCATGTGGATGACGCGAGCTGTGTAAAATGTTACCTGTGATTGCCAAAAGGAAGGTACTCCCTGAGGTACGTTACAATATTGATAAAAAAAAATACGCGTGGCTCGGGGACTGCCGCGGTAAAGCTATTGCATAGCATTTTAATCAACTTATTCAATTTTAATTATTTATTTATTTTATTTATGCAGTATTTTTTTTCATTGATATTAATTCGTTTTTTCTTTGATATTAATAGATGGCGAGGCAGGCCTTATGATATTTTATTGGGCAAGCACAGCAAACAACAGCATTGCCCGGCGCCAAAAAACTTAAACAAGCTCCACAGTTTACCATCTTTAGTCCAAAAATTTAAATTATAATTATAAAGTCTAAATAAAAGGGAGACAAATAAAAATAAGAACAGGTGCTGGAGTCTTAAACAATTATATAAAAAAAAGGAAAAAAATATTTAAAAAAAAATACAAAATACGAGTGCGGGATTTGAACCGACGACGGCGGTGATGCGTCGAACGTTGGTCCCGTGGCAAAAAGTCAACACACTGCGCCGTTTAGATCGATACTGAGATCACGAAAATAGTTGTCTATTGGTATATGCACTCTCGTAAGGTTTTTTCGTTACGGAATTTCTTCAGCGGCCGCGCTCAAAGCCCGCGATAAAAGCTATACAATAGCTTAAAAACAAGATAAATGTGTTTCAATAATATTCCGCACTTACCGAAGCAGTTGATCTGCTCAAATGTAGCTATAATAAGCGTGATAGCTGCCAACTGTGCTTTACTGTCCGATATCTCGTCTTCGTATAGAGAAAACGCTTGCGACAGATATTCGTAAGCTATCGTCTCGTGATTGGAGAAGCCTATCTCGCTTATTGCTAATGCCCCTTGAAGATACAATCTGGAGGAAAATTAACTTTATTAACGAGTAGCATGATTGAAAATCTACCAGTTTTCAGCAAACATAAAATAATTGAAGCATTTTGTTTAAAAAAAATATATAACGGGTTATGTTTAGGGCATCGAACCCGGGTTTACCCAGTCCGGTTTTGACGCTTACAGAAAAACACGGGTTTAATTTTGAAAACATCGTGAAAAAAAATATCGTGGTTCGACTAATATTAAAACTGTTTTTGTAATTTGGACAGTACTGCTTCACTTCGACTTTTGTGAAATTTAAGTTAAGTTTATAGGTTTAGATAATCATGCCAGAATCGAAACCAACATCTCTATAGACCATAAATGACGACCTCCGTGGCCGAGTGGTTTGTACTCTGGGTTTCATGGTGTCGCCGACTCGAGAGGTCCCGGTCCCGTTATTTATTTATAATAGAGATTTACTGCTGTTCAATTTAACAAATAGGAAAAAGCCTTCTTGAAACTTAAAGCATCACAGTTGTACAATTAATGTTGTTTTACAAATATTTATTTGAATGGGGTGGTGTTATTATTTCACCTTAACGGTAGTTCAGCTAATTCTGCCTTTGCGAGCATTGTGATGGTTTGGTGGCAAAACTGGAATATCTTCTGACATTTCTTCTCCCACATTTCGTCCTGAAAATAAACAATAGGTTTAACATAAAATATTTCCCATCTCAAAATCTTTCAATTTGGCATCTACATACTGTAACTTGAGTTTAAATTTTCGAAATTCTGTCAAATACAAACAACAAAATGTCATAGAACAGTACAGTACCCTTAGCACGAACCAATATCGAATTCGTATCGTTTGCGAGTCCGAAATGTCATTGTCAAATGTGTACTGATTTTTAGTTCTCGTTACGTACTTTGTGCCGCTGCTGTTCAAGTTTCCATACAAATTTTAAATTTCATATTTCGGTTTGCAAACTATTCGAATTCGATAATGGTTCGTGCTAGGGGTACAGATCTCCTTAAATGGCTGGACTACTATATGAGGAGCTGGCGAACAAAACGGTATAATTACGGATCTGGTCAAACTACTTTCTTTTTACAGTTCGGAGGTTTTGGGCCAGCTGAATTTGAATTTCAACTCATTTTCAATTATAAACCGCCTAAAAGTGTTAAATTTACTAAATTTATAAATTAAAAACCATGCTAAAATCTCACTGTAGGTATGTCATTCAGTTTTATAAAGCTCCTGTAAAATTAAATTTTATGTAATAGGGTATTTGACAAGTTTTAGAAAACGATCTCACGTTATTTACTGATGTTTATGGCGTCCGTAAAAAGTGGATATTCATCATTCTGTTGTGTATTTCAGTTAAAATAACCAAATCAAAATTCAAGTTGCCTCGAAAACATTTCTCTGGACAATATGGCGGCTCGAAAACTATTATCTTTATCGTGGGTTTGTAGTAAAATTATGAAAAAACATTTCTGTAAAAATAGTAAAAACTCCTGCCAATATTCATTCTAAATTCAGATGCTAACAATTGAAACTTTATTTTTAATACTTTCAAATACCCTATTATGTATATCGTTTTGTTCGCCAGCTCCTCATATGATACACAAAGTTGTGTTAAAGATATTAAACGACTGTTCCGAACTTAAGTGGAAACAGCATAATAATTCAACTAGCATAATGTTTATTTTCATTCATCAAATGAGGGCTTATGAATCCGCCGCTAGAGGCGCTTGTGTAACGCGAGGTCTCCGAAATGACAAATGTTATTGCTTGTAAGTTGACTGCGGGGATTTATTTCTGATTAAAATAATGTAGTGAATATTTTTTAATAACTCAGATTAATTAATGAATTTCGGAGCCATGAAAAAATATTATGTTCTCCTTTTTTTCCGAACAAAACTGAACTGCGCAACACTGTGGCATGGCCGATTATGATCACGATACGGTTCTTTTGTATTAAAATATGATGTAAATATAAACTTTGATTTTACGCGCGTATTAACAAACTTTAAAAGCTACACTTCAGCACCTCACTCAACGGTGGCGACATCTGGTGAGACAAAAAACGGTATTCCTCGCTGTATAATATGGTAAGTCTTTTACATATCTATACCTATAATAAAATGGTAGGAAAGTCAAAACTGTACATTGAAATTTTTTCTAAAAGAATACTCGAGGTGTGAACTTCAATCGATACCGAAGCCAAAAATATAGTTTTTAGAATTTTTGTCTGTTTATCTGTATGTATGTCCGACTAAACTCAAAAAGTACTGCATGGATTTCCTTCAAATTTGGCACGAATATTATTAAGAAGTCGGGTCAACATATAGGCTACATATTATCACGCTATCACCTACGGGGAACGAGCAGTGAACCTTTATTTCTAACTAACTCCACGCTTACGAAGTCGCGGGCGGCCGCTAGTATAATAAAATAAATTACCTGGTCCTTCAAGTCTTTATAAGTGTATGCGAGTCTGTAGGCGTGGAATATGATGGGCGGGAAGGTGTGTTGTATGCGACGAGCCCCGCCACCTTGTAACGCCTTTCTGGCCGCACTCAGTATGAGGTACTGTTGATCCGCTGATTCGGACTTGAAATGGTGGATTAATCTGGGTAGAGAATGCAGATGTAAAAAAGACGTAAAATCATTTTTCATCAAAAGTTAAAGGATTTAATGAAAACTACATTTAAAACCAAATTTATTGATGTTAATGGCGGCGTAACTACTAGCTGACCTTCATATTATTGATAAACAATATTCAAATACATAAAAACTTTAGATCATCTGATACGATAAATCATCAATGTAGCAACGTGGTAAAGAGAGTCCAGACAGTTGAATTTACCATAATTTGATCTTATCTTATATATAAAAATCTCGTGTCACAATGTTAGTTACCATACTCCTCCGCAACGGCATGAACGATTTTTATGAAATTTTATATGCATAATCCGTGGCTCTGAGAATCGGCTACTATCTATTTTTCATATCCGTGAGTGATAATGGTTGTCCTACCTATAACGTAGTGTTCTGAAACCTACAATGCGCCTTCGCGCCAAAATTCAAACTATTGGGTATTGTAACGTTCTCATATGGGTTAGGAGGAATGTTATCCCATAAAATTGATAGAACACTACGTTTCACACCCCTAAAATTTTTTTGGACAATATTTATTTTTTCATAATGTGGCTTTAAAAAATACATACAACCCAAAATTTCACCCTTCTACCACCAGCCCCTTTTTTTATAGCGGTCCGAAGTTCGCTGGGTCAGCTAGTCTTATATATAGAATTCTCGTGTAAGAATGTTAGTTACCATACTCCGCCGAGACGGTTTGACCGATTTTTATGTAATTTTCTATGCATATTCAGTAGATCTGAGAATCGGCTACTATCTATTTTTCATGACCCTTAATGATAAGGGTTCTCCACCGTTTCATTTATTGGATTTTTTTTAATTTTTTTATAATGTGGCATTAAATATTTCATCCATCCCTAAATTTTCACATTTCTACCACACATATTTTATGCCGATAGGAAGTTCGCTGGGTCGGCTAGTAAATCAATAATAATATTAATTAATATATCATGTATAATATCAGTTTTTTGACTTAAAAAAAAATGCAGTGATTAGTAATATAAGATTATAGCCAGTTTCCGATATTTCGGCACTGTTGCAGTTACTCCGTGATCATGGCGCTTGCAACAGTGCCGAAATATCGGAAACTCGCTAAAAACAAGGTACATGGTAACAATCCCGTAAATAACTTATATTACTATAACGTTAGTGACCATGAAAGGTTTGAAACAATATAATAAAGTGATTTCTTTATTAAATTGCTAATTTAATATTTCTACTTACCGCGCCAGCAGTCCTTGTTCTTCCATGAACTCTTCCACATCATCAGAATCTGCATCATGGTCAGGTTGGTCTTTTACGAGAACCTCTACCATTGACAAAACTGCATCCACCTGTGAAATAATACCTAGTGTTAATTTGCTTCAAATAAGCATTATTATTTTACTGGGTGTTGATTGCGGTATCTCTCATCTATTAGACAGGTCCGTCTGTCTGTGGTGCTGTTTCAGCGGCCAAACCGTAAGAGATAGATAAAGAGAATATTTAAGTTATAAGTTAACAATAGTCTGATAAGACTACAAACCGGATTTGAGTAACGTAGCACTTCCGGTTTTCGAGAAATCAGGTTTTGGTGAACATTTGGTTCACTAGTTTGCTAGTCTCCCACTAAAAGTAGAACTCTTTGCTTCAGAGGAAACTCCAAACACTTTAAAGTTATTGTGAACGTTTAAAATAATGAAATAAACATATTTCATTTTCATTGAAATGTTAAGAAAATGGTGATGCTTTGTAGCCTTAGATACACTAGAAAAAAGCAGCCAAGTGTGAGTCGGAGTCGCCCATGAAGGGTTCCATAGCAGCAAATAACATATTATAAAATATCTTGTTAGAAAATAAACTTGAGTTGATAAAATTAAAGGTTAATTGCGTTTTACGATTTATGACGTTTTAAAAAGAGCTACTTACTAGATCCCGTTCAAACCAATTTTCAGTGAAGTTTGCATGGTATGGTCAATATCATTTTTGAAGACCTATCCATAGATACCCCACACGTATGGGTTTGATGAAAAAATATTTATTTTTGAGTTTCAGTTCTATGTAACCCCCCAAATTTATTGTTTTTTTTTTTTCTATTTTTGTGTGAAAATCTTAATGCGGTTCACAGAATACATCTACTTATCAAGTTTCAACAGTATAGTTCTTAGTTTCGTAAAAAAGTACGAACGGCGGACAGACAGACATGACGAATCTATAAGGGTTCCGTTTTTTGCCATTTGGCTACGAAATCCTAAAAAATAATAGAAAAGTCCATTAAGGCTTTGATAGCATATATGATAGTTAGTGTATGCATACGCCCAATTAGCTAAAGCAGTTGATTTGAATCCAGCCTGAAATCGGAGCCGCATTGATTTTTATCTGTTTGATTTTTTTTTAGATTAATAGATCAAGTACTTTAAAACAAAAACAGAATTAATAGTTACCAGAAATATTTTCTATGATTATAAAAGTATAATCTCGACACTCGGAGACCAGTAAATTACCTACCTATTTTTAAGACTCTTTTCAACAAGATTTAGATTTAAACATCTAGCAGTTAAATGCTAAAAACATTTAAAAAAATATATAATTTTAAGGTTCATAGTGCCGCATTTATTTTGATGATGAAACATCATGATTTTAATAGATTGTATTAAAAAAATTACAAATACAACATATTTATAATATACTAAATTAATACTACTTTAGGGATAATTTTCCGCAGTATAACGTACGTGTTAATCCAGGGTGTTATTTGAGGGGTTAAATTTTATTAAAATCGCTCTAGCCGTTTAGATGTGAAGAAGTAACAAACATACACACACTCACAAACTTTCACCTTTATAATATTAGTGTGAATTCACTCACGTTTTCCGGCGTAGATATCATAGTGTCCGACTCCAATACATCGTTTATGAGGTGCACTGCTATCATAGTTCTTCCTGGGTAGTTGAGATGTTTGATCAGCTGCGAGTAGTTCTGTAGCTTTATCAACGTCAAGATATTCTTGTAATGGTCAGCGGGCAACTTTAATATCTTCATTAGCTCTTTGAAGACGAGTGTGTTGTGTTCCAGGTGAGTTTTGCCGCTAAAATATCAGTCAATAAGCTATGAGCCCTTTTACAAAATTGCGCCGCTGCCGTACTGATCGGCGCGTAGGTAGATTTGCACTAGTATATATTGCATTTTACGGGTGATGTTTCGAGTCTTATAAAATAATTATTAATGAACTAATTATAAAAATATAAACACAATTCAGTAGTTCAATGATGGTAGATTAGTTTTATGAAAGTTTTTGATAGTAAGTAATTCTATTTAATTCAATATCAAAATACGATGTTAGCCTGCATTATTTTTTAGAAAAACTCACGGAGGTTAGATAGTTTTTTTTTGGTAATTATTGAGATGAAAAATCAAAATTATAATACATTATGTTACAACAAAAACATCTAATTTATTGAACATTATTGAACGGTAGAACTGTCAGTACAAAAAAAGGAAAATAGTATTTGCAAATATTCTACATTAACTTACAATAGGAAGAATAAATCTACTGTTTACTTCTATTGGAAATAGTCAAAATCTTTTCTAAGGGGGTAAACGAGGCGCTCAAAAATTACGATTATTTGCAAAAACTGTGAAAGGGCTCTTAAGTAAAATCAAAGTACCTAACTTTACTTTGCACACGCTCTGTCTTTTGAATTAAGTCAATGTCATACTTTTCGATACGGTTTCCACCTCAGTTGTGCACCCTACCACTAATAATCTCCACAACATCCTATGGTTGACTGGTAGAGAATGCCTACGGCATTAAGTCCACCATTGTACATTTGGGCATGAAGAATAAAATAAATAAATAAATACTCGAATTTGGAATAAGGTCAAACTTTATGTATAACGTAATTTTCTTTTCCTCTTGTGAAAACCTGACGAAAAATTCTATACAATCTCTTATCTATTAGACAAGTCCGTCTGTCTGTCTGTGGTGCTGTTTCAGCGGCCAAACCGTAAGAGATAGATAAGACTACAAACCGGATTTGAGTAACGTAGCACTTCCGGTTTTCGAGAAATCACGAATTTCAAACGAAACCATACAAAATCTCCGAAGTTCTCAATTAATTAAATACAATTTTTTTTTAAATCAGGTTTTGGTGAACATTTGGTTCACTGGTTTGCTAGTATTCAATAATAACACTCGTAACACTTCCAATACATTATATGTATGTATTTGTATTTCATATAGAAAAGCCTATTGGACTGATTGTTTGTCTGTAACATAAACATACACTTTGTAATAAGCTTTCTTAAGAAGTGATCAATAAAGACCAGTGTTTAATAATGTTGCCTCCAAATTAGATAGAAGAGTCGGTGTTTCAGGATATTTTAACATGACTGCCCAAAAAAGAATCAGGGTTTATTCAGGGTTAATGTATGTATGTACAATTCTTTATACTAACTAAACTAACTACTAAACTCCTGAGCCGATTTAAATCGTTAGAATCCTTTAACCATACCGGGTAACATAGGAACTTTTAAAATTAACATAACAGCAATGTCAAAATGTCAATTATTTATATCAATTAAAAAGAGTCTTCAAATTATTACAATATAGTTATCATTTGAAAGGTTTCACGATCTCCGTGGCCGAGTGGTTTGTAATTTCATGGTGTCGCCGACTCGAGAGGTCCCGGGTTCAAATCCCGGTGAGGCAGATGTTTGTGTGATGAATACGAGCATTTATACTCCAGTCATGGATGTTTAATATGTATTTCTATAAAAATATACTTATATATGTACAGTATATGTATTCTATCCGTTACTCTAGTGTCCCATAACACTAGCCTTATTGTGCTTACTTTGGGGCTAGGCTAATTGGTGTGAGTGTGGGAAATATTTATTTAATGGGACCATATCAAATATATACAAATATATTAGCATTTTTTAACGGCATAAGTGTTTTTTTTTATGTTACTTGTTAATAATTTCTACTTTAATCAATAGGTATGTACTACTAATGTATATGTAGATATAAGACATTTACTTCTGAGATTATATTACCTGCTCTGATGTATATCTGCACAAATCTTGTCAGTGTGAGCCAACACGCGATCCACATAGTTAAGTTTGTCAGGGTGGCAACGCTGAGCCAGTTTCAATAGTGCCAACTGTAAGCTCAACATATCCTCTGGGGGCATGTCTGTTCGACTCTGAATCAAGAATAAATGACTTTTGATATGAAGATTGTAATGGTGTGGCATATTATTTAATATGTCACTAGCCACCCGCGACTTCTTCCGCATATGAGTCAATCTAGGTGATAAACTAAATATAATATGTCAAATTGCATCCAAATCCGTTCAGCCATTTTAGCGTGAAACAGTAACAAACATTTCAAACTTTCGCATTTATATTATTAGGAGAATAAATAGGGTTAGTATGAAGATAGGACAGTAGGATAGGATGTCATTAATTTGAGACTAGTGACCCACCCTCGCTTTGCTTCGGTGACGACTTAGTACGATTTAGTTCCTATCTTTTATAATTTGTTAGTAAAATAAATAATTTATATAGGAATTTCATTAAAAAAATATTAGCAGCAGAAGATTGAATAATTAGTAAATTTAATTTTAAATAAATATAGTCAATGAAGATTGTAAAGTAATTTTGTATAATGGTGAGGTGTAAGATTCAATTCCTATCTTTTATAATTTATAAGTAAAGTATTAACAAATAGGAATTTAAATAAAACAAGTTTTAACGGTATAGATGCACTGATTTATTCATTTATGACGTTCGCATCCTTTTCAGGCCGCGTCGTCATAATGATTATAATAATGATTTTAAAATTCTGACGACGAAGCCTGAAAAGGATGCGAAATGTCATAAATATATAAATCAGTGCATCTATACCGTTGAAAATTGATTTATTTAATGAGTGGTGTGCGTGAAAGCCTAAGAAACAAATAGGAATTTTATAAAAAAAAATTAACCACACATGATTAAATTAATTTTGTGAATTTAATTTTTAATAAACATAGGCACTTTTTGTCTATACCGAGTTATAAAATAGAATTTATAGTGGTGGATAGATTTGTACTGTCAGATTATTTTTGAGTTACGTACTATGCTTAAAAGAAATATTATGTTGGTCAGTTACCTTCAACGATTTTAACAAGTGTCATTAACGCTATAGAAATGTTGACCGGGAGGTGAATAGCATAGCGACGTAAGGGGAAGGGATCTTGCCGCATACACCTGGAGGCCTACTCTAATTCAACGAAAAACAAAATTTCGATTGAAACTTCGCACTTTTCTTACTATGTTTCTAGATCCTTTTTAAGTATAATGATATTCGTCGTCGGAATATAGATTGAGGTATAGATTTTCTAAGCCTGCTCAAAGAAAGCTTCAATTTGATTGTTTATCGTTCAAATTAAGAAAGTATAAACTTAAATTGACGAAATCAAATTTCGTTTGAACTTCGCTATCGAAAGTTCGTTTCGGAAAAAGACCTCCTGGACCGGTTTGTTTTTACATATCTACAGGTTGCTCAAAAATATGATTTAATGATTTCGGTTATAGTCTTTTTAAAGTTAGAATCTAAGTCATTTATCAAGCGAGGAATTAATATTGCAACCAACTAACCTGTGTTATGGCAGCTACTTGGTCGGAAAACACTTCAAACAGCTGGACCTCTTGTTCCTTACCATCCTCCATCACTACGCTTAGGTTAATGTTTCCTTCATTGCGCTAAAACAATTAAAAAGAAATCGAATGTAGCTGCATAAGTATAAACACACGAGGACAGTTTTTAGCTTTGATTACAAAATCGGGTTGCATACAAATGCAACCCGTTATCTATAGAATTGTTGATCGAAATTAGAAACATTGTTTTTTAATGAAATAATACAGACTCAGAAAAACGTCGCCTACACAAAGTATGATATGTAAAAAATGGACCAAAGATGAACCTTGCGGGACCCGAAAACGGAGTAGCGAAAGTTGAGAATGAGAGTGTTCATACGCAAAATTATAAACACTTATTCATTGGTTTTTAAAATCCTTATTACAACCAACTGAGATTTCTAATTGTCTGAAAGAAAAAGTAATGAGTCTTAAAATATCTACATTATCAAAGGCTTTGGCCAATTTAATACTAACCTGGCTGTAAGTGGCGAGTCTTTCTATGAGCGCGATGATAATGTTCTTGATATTGACGCCGGGCTGTAACTCGGCACACGATTTTAGGAAGGGCTGAAGATTAGCCAAGTGGAATTCGTCTGGGAACACCTGGAAATTGCGTGCTTTTCAGTAAGATTTCTGAACAACCATAATTTATGTGACAACTTCCTGTGCATTTAGTTGCTGAAAGTTGATGTTTATTCTTTGAAGTTTTACCCATACTCTCAGGATGTAACTCATAGTTTTACCATTTTCATTTCATGTAGAAAAATAGAGTTTCTTCTAGCTGCAGTAAGTTAACGAGATTAAAAACTACAAATTCCATTTCATATTGACGACCTCCGTGGCCGAGTGGTTTGTACGCCGGGTTTCATGGTGTCGCCGACTCGAGAGGTCCCGGGTTCAAATCCCGGTGGGGGCAGATGTTTGTGTGATGAATACGAGCATTTGTACTCCAGTCATGGATGTTTAATATGTATTTTCTATATAAATATATGTACTTATATATGTACAGTATATGTATTCTATCCGTTACCCTAGCATCCCATAACACAAGCCTTACAGTGCTTACATTGGGGCTAGGCCAATTGGTGTGTGTTGGAAAAAAAAATTTATATAAAATATAATCTACTGGGTTGATGCGTTGAACAACAAACGCTTTTCATGAGACTTTGACAACTTCACTATTTACACAGTTTTCTTGTTATTGAAATGTTCTATGGTCAGTTAAGCATATACTATTGAAACAAACTTCTCCATTTCCACATTTATTGGGCAAGTGGGTCAGCCTCTCTAGTATGAGAATCGTGATGTAATATATAGTTCGTTTATATCACGCTCAATTGTCAAATTACTATAGAGTTTAACAGTTAGACACAATAAAAACATAATGCACAGTTGATATTGTGGGCAAACACTACAGGAACAGGAATCATTTTGTTTCGTGGTACACAATTAAATTACCTGTATAATGCACTCCATTAAGTATTCCTGCGCTATGGCATCCCTGCAGCTGACGACCTGCTCCAGTATACCTGGCAACACCAGCCTCCTATAATCGTCCACGGTCACAGTCTCCAACTGGGATAATCGCACTAGATTCGTTCCCACTAGGATACGAAGCTCGGAACGCTCGCGTTCGCGACGTTCTTTGTCTCTGTTCCCAAAAAAAACACATAAAAACCCTTAAATTTGATACTCACTAAGAGGAATTTCATATAGCTATATAACTTTCTTAAAGGTAGGACGGGTGTCCTAAAGTTTCAAGCGAAAAGCATACATATTTCAGTATTGCAATCACTGCCGGATTTAGGGGATGGCAACCGGGGCGAAAGCCCCGGGGCCTCCACAAACGGGGGGCCCCCACAATAGAGACTTCGGAAAAAAAAATCTTTCAAATTCCAACTAGTGAACACTAGTTTCGGTTCCGTTCGTTAACTCTAAGATTTAATTTCAGATAATTCTTGTTTCCGTTTATATTTATATGTGTTTGTTCAATACTAACGGAATCTACTTGGTTCACAATAAATTATTTATTGAAAAACTCGACTGAAAAAAAATTGTTTAGTTTATTTGGAAAATAATTTGGGGTGAGGGGGCCTCCGCTCCTCTGTTGCCCCGAGGCCTCTGGACCCCTAAATCCGGCCCTGATTGCAATATTAAAAATTGAATATAATAATAAAAACTTATAAGTGCTATTTACCTAGAGTGTCCCTGATGCTGCATTCTAACCCAAAGTTTATTCATTTCAGCAAAATTCATGAGAACAAAATCGATAGCATCTCTCACCTACAAAATATTTAAAATTACAATTGCATCAATTTAGGCAATAGTATTTCATTAAGCAAGTTCAGTTTTATCAATTCCATTTATTTTTTTAGTGCATCTTATAAAATCCACACTAGCATCTGCATAAATAAAAAGCCATCCTAAAACATAAGCGCTAAGGTTCAACTTACAGTGCCCTCGTTTTCGTTCTGTGCCTCTGCTGTATCAGGTAAAACATTCCTGGTGCATTGCAGCAGATAGTTTCTAAGGAACAGCCCACGGAGAGGATGTTGAACTCCTCGGCACATTTCTACCAGATCCTGGGGTAAAAATTGTGCAAGTCACACTGAGGGGTATTTCATAACAAGGTAAGGTTATCACAAATGGAAAGTCAGGTTTCTTCTATGTAGACCAATGATATTACAAACCCAAGGTTAACTAACAGCAGTGAAATTGTGTCCCAAACAGACAGTATCTAAAGGAAGCACTACTTCATGCACCGTTGCGTGGATCAATAAAAAACATACCGCAGAGCTTCTTTGAATTCCATAATGATAAGGGAATATTTTTTTAACAATTAATCTTTTTAATACAAATAAACTTATTTTTTACAGCTATACCAATTTTTAAACATCAAATAACTTACTTTTAGCAGATCTCTCCTCAAGTTGGAATTGGTTTTGATGTACACCAAACCCACAGTGATGAGTAGGTAGAGCCTCGGCACAATGTTGCCAGCATACTGCACAAGCTCATACAAATCGGCAACCTTGCGTCCTTTCTGGAACTCCTCCAGGAGATACAACTCCAGGTGACGCAGTTCATCAGTTATTGCCATGTCTGGTACAAGTTAAGGAGAAAGAACATGACGTGCATGAAAAAAAATGTGAGTGTTCATCCCTGATCTACAAATGCAGTAACCATCTGAGCCACAAATTCATATCTATAATGAAATAAATCTATCTGTACTAAGAACACATCTCTATAGTAAAATTAATGTTTGTTCTTAAATTCCACTAGAATAAAGATAAGGGTCAAAATAGGTATTAAATGTTAGAGTACTAGTTTAATCAGGAGTTGCCATCTCAAATAGTAAGGTAGATGGAATATCATTGAGCAAAGGGATCATACCCAAAATACAAAGGCAGTGTAATTCAAAGATACAGGCAGTCCTCGTACTTACGGCATGTTAGGTTCGCGAAATACGCGAGGTAAAGTGAAGCGACGTAGATCGAGACATCCCCACGGACGCCGGCTCCGCGGACATCGAAACAACTGACATATGCTTGACGAATAGCATCAAAACATTGTTCGACGTAACTTGAAACAACGTAAGTTGAGGACTGCCTGTATTAGTATTCTTCATTACAATGTTTTAATTTGAATACACCTTTTTTCCTATCAGTTCCATTGCAATGAAATAAGGCACAAGTTATATCATGTTTGTAGATTAATCATAACATCTAACTATCCAGTAAACAATCTATGTCCGGTTAAATTGTACTATTATTTTGTGTTTAGAAAGTTCTACATCTATTTAGAATTCAGATTTTTATCCATTTACTGGTATTAAACAATATGCTATTACTGTGAGAAACATCTATTTAGTCATTTCAGCATATTTGGGTTAAATAACCACCAAGTTTGAATCACTTTCACAATTACAATATCTACAAAATAATAAGATTACTGTATAGCCAGGTTATCAAAAACTTCATCATATTTAACATTATGTCATGATTTCAAAAGAACCTCAACCTGTTGTTGAGTATAAAATAAATAATATGGCAATTACAAAGGATACATAGTTCATAATAGCTTTTGGGTGACAGCAATGATGTTCTTAACTCTCCAAGCATTGTAGAGGCATGTTTCAAGGCATCCATCAATTTCGACTTGTCGAGGCATCTCTTCATTTGAAACGCCTAAAACAGAATGAAAATTATTAAAATTTTTGTCATTACAAAAAAAACTTTCAACTAATAAGAATTTATACTGAATACAATTGGATAAAAAAATGGGTGCGTGTACTTATGTAGGCGCGTGAGAAGTTATCCTTCGTTGGCATCGTTTAAAATTAGTTTTTAATTGCATGCAAATAATTAATTACAATAAATTAATAAAAAGTCTGGAAAAGGACACAGTCAATAAAGTTCAGTTTTAATTTGAAAAAATAAATAAATAATCAAAATATTCAATTAAAATCGCTACTGAATATAATTTATTAGAACATATGTGATTTGCACTTGTATGAAACTCAAACACGTATTCCGAATATACAAACTAGAAACATATTATAAATATGAATACCTATAACTGTTACTTTATACCAAAAAATAAAGATGTGGTTTTTGGTTCTACTACACCAATGGTCAAGAGATGGCGCTGTAGTCTCCTGAATCGCACTTTGGTTCCGTTGTTCCAGATTAATAAATACTTTTGATAGGCCTTCACAATGCAATCGTTAGCACCCACTAAATAGAGATTCTATTTCTATTTTGTTGGTAGATTTTCTTAATGTGCTGTAAACACAAAAGTTAATAATTTGTGTTACAGGGATGCGCGCGCATCTTAAAATTTCACTCTCATCATTTTTTCATAACGCGCCTAAAGAAGTATAACTTCAAAAAAATCATCATGTTAAATTATGTGTCATGATACATTTGTCCCATGTTTTGGTACTGCATTATTTTGTTTTACACAACATAATAATTTCTGAGCAAACATGCCAAAAATGTTGTTTTAAGTAATGCAGAGACTGTAGGATACATACTAAATTAGGAACACATATAATATACCTAAAAGTACAAGTTTACAACAACAATGTTCATGTCAACAACCATGTTGTACCACAAATGTTAGTACTTATTGCACTTGCCAGGAATAGAATCCAGGTTAAATAAATATTTGGACGACCGGCGGTCGTCAGGGCAAAACACTTTAAAGATAAAACCGGTCCTTCAGAATAGTAATAGAAAAAATAACAAATTACCTGCACTTTTACAACATTCAAAGCTTCTTCGAGAAGCTTTTCCTGCTCCTCAACGGGAGATGCCTGGTTCGTCATTTGTGCCTGGAGATAAAAGACAGAATATCAGTTATTTATATTAAAAAAAGTGATTAGATAAGTAAACTGCCTAACAATTTAATACTAACAGTTGACCAAATATACAAAAATGGATGGTTTTTGTACGCCATGTGTTAAAGCCAAGTGTAAGTGCACTATTGGGCAACATACCTGTTGTTTGCTTATGCGGTTAAGTAATTTCAGATAAGATTCTCAAGAAAAATTACAAAATTAAAAGCTCTGTGGGTGTTGCTCCTTGCTGTTTTCTGTCAATTTTGACATTTTGTTTCATAATTTGTTGTTGTTATAATTTTTTTAAAGGTCAAAGATAAATTTATAGGATTTTAAAGATCACAAATACATTAAATCTTTCGTCAATGGTATCGATTCTGCAAGCTTATCTAAACTTAATTTTACATCAATCACTCCTTTTCATTTTGTATGGAGAACGACAAGGATACGCTGTTGTCAAAAAGTTTAAGTTTAGAAAATCATGCCAGAATCGACTCCATTATATCCGTATTTTTTTCTTTTTTTTCTCTTTGTTTCGTCGAGTAGAACAGTAGACAAGTGAAAAAAATGTTATTATTATTAAGAAGTAATACTTCAAAATATTAGACATCATTAAAGGAAGATGCTTTTTAGTATTGTTTGCCTTCAATAAAAAATTGTCAATGTCCATAAAATAAAAAATACAGTATAAAAAATTGTCACAGGGTTCCCAACTCAAAGGTTTTGCCCCGAAATTTAAGAGGTAATCTAAGAGTAGAAATATATCACCGGAATTATGAGAAGGTGGGTATTTTTTTTGGGTTATATACTTTTACAGGGATCTGCAAGGTTATAAATACCTCACGCTCTTTTTCTTTAATATTGTTAATGCCAATACAAACGAAAAACATGAGCGAGAGAGCTAGGTATTAGAAAATTTCAGCGGTGAGAAATAACATAATAAAATCGTAATTGATAGAGAGCGCCAGAGTAATCACGCTAGACAATTGGCTCCCTGGTAGTAATTGTGCCTATCTACCTTAAAATATAAATATCTGGAAGAAAATCAATAGACACAGTGTGCGATAATTTATACATATTGCATTCTAGTGATTTGATTGGATTTTTGGGATCCGCCCCAACACGTTGCGCGGCGCGGCGCGGCCGGCATAATGTGCTCGAAGCTTTAGGGGTAAATATTTTCGAGAGTTGGTTACACCAAATGAAATGTCAGTGTCACTAGTGTCAGTGTTTTGTCTTGTTTTCTTCGTAATCCATCAATATTTTGGAAAGTTTTATTTTGATTTCTAAAATGGATAATAAACCATCCCTTAGTAAATATTTCGGTGACACTGAAGTTCCTCCAGCTTCCCAATTTTTTGATGAAATAGGAACTTCGCCTTCAGATTTGATTCAGAGTGTTTATTTAGGTGAAAACGAAGGTGCTTACTGGTTCATAAAACAAGCACTTAAATTAAATTTCTTTCATAATTATTTGATGAATTAGTAACAGGATATGTTTTCCACGTTTTCAGGCAGTCAAACTACATCTAATGATCTGTTTCCACAAAATATAACTACTTCTTTTACTCAATCAAATATGTCACAAGAGACAACATTTTTAAATACTTTACCGACTGTGAGTGGGGCTACTACAATCCCTACGAGAAACCTGCCGGATCCTTCAACGTTCTTTGATACAATAGGGCCTGAACCACAAATAGGAATCACTAAAACTACCACAACTAATCCAGTTACATTGTCAGAAGCTATGGAAGGGCTTAGCATAAAGGTATAAATTAGAAATATGTTTTCCGATTTATTGCCTATTTTTAATTTCAATACTATTTTTTTTTCCTTTATTATTGAATTAACTGTAAATAATGTGAAGGAAGGCATCAGAAATGATAACTTATTTTTTTTATATTAAATAAATAAATATTTCGAATACTCACACCAATTAGCCTAGTCCCAAAGTAAGCACTGCAAGGCTTGTGTTATGGGATGCTATGGTAACGGATAGAATACATATACTGTACATATATAAGGATAATAATATAGAAATATATATTAAACATCCATGACTGGAGTACAAATGCTTGTGTTCATCATACAAACATCTGCCCCCACCGGGATTCGACCTCTCGAGTCGGCGACACCATGAAACCTGACAATACAATCACTCGGCCACAGAGGTCATCAAATTTTTACTTAATTAATTTTACTTTTTATGTGCGTCTTCTGGCATTTTTAGATAAACAGCATAATTGCATATATTAGTAATTCTATCTTAATATAAATAAGATCTCCATTCCTACATATAATCCAAGGATGAAATTGTAATCACTGAAGTAATTATTAATATTTTCTGGTTTGAAGTTGGATGCTTAAACCTCAGATCAAATCTGAGGCTAAAGCTGGTTAAAAGCAGTTCACAAATAAAAACTATGCTTGTCTGTTTTTAGAATCAGCCTGTAGACAAAGAAGAACAAAGAAGAAGAGATGCTTGGATCCCTAATGAAGACGCTCAAAAAACCCTGCTTAAGGTACCATTATTACATTTCATTTATATGCCTGCTATAGTGTAAGTATTATTATTATCCCTTTTCCATCCATAGGCAAGGCCTGTACCTAATGATGATGATCATAGTGTAAGAAGATAAATATACAATACGCGCTGACCCAGCAAACTTCATATCACCATAAAAATATGGGTGGTAGAAGCATGAAAATTTAGGGTTTTATGATTTTTTTTTGCCATAGTATAAAAAAATAAAAAAAAAATTGTCCATAAAATAAAAATAAAATCTTAGGGGTGGACAACCCTTATCACTTAGGGGTATGATAAATAGATAGTAGCCGATTCTCAGACCTACTGAATATGCATATAACATTGCATATAAATCGGTCAAACCATTTCAGAGTAGTATGGTAACTAAAATTGTGACACAAGAATTTTATATATAAGATTGTCTTCTGATACTGATACAGATCCGGTCTTCCATTATGGACTGGGAATAACAAAAACCATATTTTGCACTAGCTGCCGATCTTAAGGAAAGCTATATGTATTGAGTTATTTGGAGGAAGATTATTAGTTAAATATCTTCAAGAATTTCCACAGTACCTAAATAACAGAACATAAATGAAAATCTTCCAGTACTTACTGTTAACAAACATCTGGTGCAAAAATGTTTTCTGCATCGCCAAAAAATTAGTGATCTTAATGAAAAACAAAATGTAAATTGAAGTACTTAATAAAATTTTCATGAATGAGTTTTACTACAAAAACATCAAACATTTTTTAGTAGTAATATGTTTTATATAGTGGTTAGGTTGCAGTTTATCTCTTCATCTTTTTTTTTGTAGGCACAATCCTCACCAAAAGGTTCTTTCTTCCCAGAAAGAGAAGCACTCACTATGCCAGGAATAGTTCTAGAGGAAGAATTGGTAAGTGTGATTATATTGTATCTCTATCAACGCATATAATAATAAGGATGATGGCGGGATAAAGGTAACGTAATTGTAATAAGTCTGTCAATTAGATTATCAAAAAATAATGTACAGTTATTTTTTCTTTTGTCAATCAACCAAAAAATTACATAGATATCATCAAAGTTTGGGAGAGGGGGCTCGTGACGGCTTCTTATTCCTTGAGTTAGTAGACTTGAAACTTGGCAAGAATACTTATATAGATAAATCATAAAATTTTTCATTTTTAGTTTCTCTAAAGTACTCCATAAGAGGGGTTTTGCTGAAGTTTTTATATGGACGAGTTTTAATGTGAACTTCTTTAACTTCAAACTTGGCATTTTTACTAAAGACCAACATGTAACAGGGTTTTTCGAAAATCACCCCTAAGGGGGTAAAAAAGCGGATGAATGTCGATAAAATTTGGCACACATACCCCCTTATTAATAAACGAAGACTATGCATGGATTAGTTACTCCACGTTTTGTCTCAGTGTATTGAATGACAAATGGCATTTGGGTGATATGAACAAAACACGGCGTAACTAGTTTAAGCTTGTTCCTTGTTTATTAATAAGGGAGCTTTAGTTTATTAAATACCTGGATTGAGACAAAGGATCATTTTTATCCGGAAAAAACGTTAGGTTCTTGAGAAATTCTCAAAAAACTAAGTTACTTTAAACATGGACGAACTAGCGGACAGCCGCTGGTATTTGTTTAATTATTGTCCTTTTCAAGCGATGTCGCTCATTAAGGACATTATGACGGGCCACAGCGGGTCGGGTAACAGCGCAAACATCCGTTCAAATCGCTCGTATGTATTTTGTAGGCACACTTAGTATACCGGGGCGCAGCGGACCGCATATTCCGCCGCGGGTTTTGGTTTCTTGCGATGCGGCCCGCCACAATGTGCTACAGTAAACGGATTGAAGTGCATACAGTTGCACGGACGTCTGTCAGTACACTGTACCCAAAATCCGTCAATGAGCTGCGAAACCGGGGGGGCCAAACGCCTAACGGAATTGCTATGGGTATCGCTATCGCTTATGATTTCGTTTTGTTATTTCTGACCGCCGAAGGTTTTTAAATACCTTATTCCCATTGTCTTTAATATTGTTGTTACCAATACAAAAGAAAGAAAACCAGTGCGGGGCATTTGAAAACCTGAAGGCCGCCACAAATGTGCTACGCCCCGCTGGGGCCCGACATAATGTGTGCGAACCTTTAAGGAACAAGTTAGTAGGTATTAATATACAGGATTTACCATACAGGCGGATGCTCTCCAAGAGGTAGCGGTCAAGTATTTAGGTGTCAGTTCCGCCGGTACTAGAGGCGTAGTTCGCGCTGAGCACGTTAGCAGAGATGAGGGCGGTCTGAGAGAGTTACTGCGCACCGGGTACTTGAGGGCCGCAGTTAATTTAACCGCTGTGTTACTGAGTGCTGCTGGGCAAGGTGAGATAAGTGTTTGAATCAGGTGTTTTTTTTAATAAATAGTGAAAAGCAAGGAGGAGCTCGATGGCGCAGGTGGCTAGCGCGTTCGGCTGCGATCGTTGAAGTTAAGCAACTTTCGCAGTGGTCGGTCATTGGATCGGTGACCAAAAATTTACTATCTCGAGCTCCTCCGTGCTTCGGAAGGCACGTTAAGCCGTTGGTTCCTGCTACATTTGCAGTCGTTAGCACCCACCAATCCGCACTGGGCCCGCGTGGTGGGTCATGGCCCAATCTCCCTATTCGATCCATAGGGAAGGCCTGTGCCCCAGCAGTGGGGACATTAATAGGCTGATGATGATGATGATGATGATGAAGCGTTTTCGAGTGTTAGTTTTGTCGGGACTATAGGGGCATAGTTTGCGCTGAGCACGTGAGCAGAGGCGAAGCCGGTCTGAGATCTGAGCACCGGGTACTTGAGGGCTACAGTCAACGATATTAAATACCCAACACGAACAAAATCGTGGCCTAAACCTGTCCAAAAGGAACATTGAATGATCCACGAGCTCCGTAAGAGCATCGCATAAACAAAAACAATATAAGGCACTATTTAACCATTGAAAGTCACCTTTAATGCAGACTGTATAAGGTCTTAATTAAAACGCATGCGTCAAAGAAATACGTCAGTTAGAAATGCAAGCTCGTAAAATTTCACGACTTATTGCTATATGCGGAAGAATATAGACCTTATTTCTCTGTCTCTATGCGCAATTCTGAATGCGCTGTTAGCAAAATAGCAGTAATGGACCGTGAGGAAAAGAGACAACTATATTACCAACCATGCATTTGTATATCGCAAATATTTTCTATTAAATCACTTTTTAGTAAGTATAAGAACAAAATTTTCAAATGCGTTAAATTAAAAACATGGCGAATGCGAAGAGATGGCGCTGCTTTGCAGCTTAAAAATGGCTGGAAGAATTTCGACGCGGTCCGCGAGGGTCGCGGTAATATAATTGGTCAGTGCATTCGCCCGGATTGCGAAGGGTGCGGGTTCGAGTCCCGTCTGCTGCCTGGTCCGCGTGGATTTTTTTCTAGATATATTTTCTTTAGATTAAAAACATTCTTTAAATATCTGTCGAAAAAATTACACTTAACATACTATGAGTATTGTTTCGTATTTTTTTACGGAGCTCTGCGGCATCTTTACTTTTCAACGGTCCGCGCGTGACTGTGAACTAAGAAGTGCTTGAGTGGTGTTCAAGCACTTCTTGATTGGGACACATTTTGAGCGGACGTGGCGAATAGGGTATTTAATATCGTTGGCTGCAGTTAATTTAACCCCTGTTTTACTGAGTGCTGCTGGACAAGGTGAGTCAGTGTCTTGGGAAATGTAGGGCTTAGTGGGCTTTCCCACTTGTATAGTTAGACGCAATAATCGTTACAAGAATAAACTTAAATTACCTAATACATTTAACATTAAAGATGTATTCGTCTGCTCCGCATGCAATGTTAATAGAAATATACAACCATCTACCAAATAGTTTAAAATGTACAACTGAAAATAAAATATTTGAAAAACAGCTTAAAAATTTTCTAATAAATAATAGTTACTATTATATTTCCGAATATTTTAATGACAATTTTTTATAATATAATAAATATTAATAATAGTGTAACAAATTAATAATAATATAATTAATACTAGTATAAAACTCTAGTTAATATAATAGTTGTACACTCTAAAAATATCTAAATGTTATCATATATTTGGAATCAATTTATTTTTGTTTTTTTCTAGTAAAAATCAATCATAATTACTTTAGAATTAAAAATCTAGCAGTTAAACGCCTAAAATAAATTTAAACATATTGTTTTTGATCAACTGATGTAATTGTATTTTTTTATTAAATATTATTAATTACGTTTATGTATAAATAAATCGCAAACACCCTTGCAGGGTGTCACATGTTCTATATAATATGTTACTAAATTGTCATCTTTTAACCATGTGACTATGCAATAAAGAATTTGAATTTATATATAACTTAATTTCAGTTTTTATTCAATACTTATTAATTTTTAAGCAGCACCAATGTGGCGTGTATAATCTATCTTGCTTTTCCACTGTCATGATCGATCTAATCTATGCTAACATTTAAAATGATACGCAAAACTCACTAGCACACACACCCACATACACACATGCACGCGCACGCACACACACATTTTCTGAATATATATGTCAGTTTTTTGTCTTTTTATTTAATTTTGAACGTAATGGATTTATGATGCCATATGTGCTAAGGGGATTGGAGCTGTATGCCGTAATACAGGCATTTTGCCTAGCTCGGCAGCAGATACATATGTAGTTATGTTAGAGATATTAGTAGGTGTGAGCGTTCTAAAGACGAACCGGTTTCAAGGACCGTTTTGTGTTCCGCGACGATAGAACCTTTTTACGTTTCGGATCAAAACAGTCTTCGTCGAACAACTAGTCCTCGGATTGTCTGTACGCCAATATGTATTTTATAATGTAGTAAATACAGTCTATAATAGAACGCAATGATATGAGGCCGTTTCGTTCTATGATAATTAAGCTTTGATTTTACAATATTATAATCTTTATTATTGAATATTTAAAGTCGATTATCGTAAAACACTACATTTATTTCGATGTTTCGTCGTCTCGTTCGCAGCAACGAAACGAACGTGAACAAGATTTCATTGCTAGATATATTATTATAATTTAAGGTTACGATTCGTCGACAAATCGCAACCCTGCCAAGACAAAGCAATAAAAACATAAACAAAGAATGTATTCAGAGTAGACAGTCAGTTGCCTGACGCCTACTTCTATTAATCAAACAACCACATCAATAACGCGATTCAAACGCGCTTCAGTGACATCTGTTGAGTGTATTTGAAAGAGTTAAATCGATTCATATCATATCATATCAGGTATTTTATATACTAATTAGTAGGTAGGTACTCATGTTTTCATTGGCATTCTTTCTACGAGACTATAAGAAATAAATCATATAAACAATATCAGTGTTAACTAAAATTCATTAAATTTACCCCAAAATATTAAAGATCACTCCTACAAAAAAAATCATTTGGCGGAATCGCCTTAAGGTTGTGGATTATAAAATTTCATATTATAATCGAGTGTACTGTAGCAAAAACACAATTATTCGGTTTTCCACACAGACGTGCACTAAATAATTTGCACATTTTATCTCTATTTTTGAGGGTAGCTATATATTTTTTTTTAAAAGTACCCATAGATAATTTGATAATTATAAATACCTGTCATTATCAATATGTTAACATTTATTTGGATAAATAAAACAACACAAGTGTATATTTATTTTGAATAAACAGAGATTTAACATAATATAACAAGATTAAATTTAGTTGCTGTAACCGTGATTATTTGCGATAAAAATTTAAAGTTTTAATTTCTAAATCAGTAATCACGGTATTTTAGAGTTCTTTATAATTGGTGTGATCTTGTGAGTCAGTGAGTAGTTTCCAAAGCTTCACGATGTTGGGGATGAGTTAAAGATAGACAAAACAAGGGATTCTTCACCATGGTATCGCCAGCGTTTATAGAGTATGGTGGCTTCTTACCATTATACAGGCAGGCCATAATATTCAGGTTGGTCACCCGTTTTACACGAAAAATCTGTCCTCTTACACTGTGTTAAATGTTTAGTAAGTAAGGGGGAGTAAATGTAACATTTAATACCAGCATTGTCGTAACATGTTTAGTTACATGTCACGGTAGAATTATGCCGAGTCAGGGTCCTGATTGACTAATATTATAACTGTTAGGTTAAACAATATTTGAGATTTAAATCTAAAGAAAAGTTTTAATAAAAAAGATAGAAAAAAATTGGTCAGTGCATTCGCGCGGATTGCGAAGGGCGGGGGTTCGAGTCTCGTCTGCTGCCTGGTCCGCGTGGATTTTATTCTATTAAAACTTTTCTTTACATTTAAACATCTAGCAGTTAAATGCTTAAAAAATAAAAACATAATGTTTGAGATGCTTACTTTCTGTATATGTTTTATTTCATTATATGTTTGTGTGTTTTTATTGGTCAATAAAATGGTTCACTATCTCTCTAATTTAGGTTAGTGAAAATATACTACTAAACCATAACTACAGACCGCCAGGAAATCCACTTTATTTTTGTTACCTGTCATTTGCTGTTGTTAGCACCCATCAATCTTCACAAGGGACGCGTGGTGGGCTCAGTGCAATCTCTCTATTCAACCAATAGGGGAGGGGCATAGGTGCCCCAGCAGTGGGAACATTAACTGCCTTATTCCCGTTATCCGTAATACAGGTTTTACCCAGCACGGATGCCAGCTTCCCACAATGTTATTCTAAATCTATTATGTGTTACTATTGTCAATTGTATTGTAACATTGTGTGAAGAACACCAATAAATATTATTATTCCAAAACGTTGACTAAAGTTAGTCTTGGTTTAAACCCTAATGTTGTCTCTGTCTTTTCGTAGCAAACAAAAGTCACAGCAACAGTGTTAATCCAGATTTAACATTAGACTAAATTTTAAAATTTAGACTAAAGTTAAATCTTAATAGGTAATAGATTTGGAGCCAAATAATTTATTCATGACTCTGAGAAGCTCGATGGCGCATGTGGTTAGTGCGTTTCGGCTGCGATCGTTGAAGTTAAGCAACTTTCGCAGTGGTCGGCCATTGGATGGGTGACCAAAAGTCTTCTATCTCGAGTTCCTCCGTGCTTCGGAAGGCACGTTAAGCCGTTGGTCCCGGCTGCATCTGCAGTCGTTAGCACCCGCCAATTCGCACTGGGCTCGCGTGGTGAGTCATGGCCCACTCTTCCTATTCCATCCATAGGAAAGGCCTGTGCCTTATCATTGGGGACATTAATAGGCTGATGATGAGGTAATAGATAAGCGTTACAAATATTTATTTAAGTACATATATAAATTTCCCTTGATCTAGGAGCAGGTCGCATGCACCGCGCCACTAAGCATACACCACGCAGCTTACAGCTATGGCTGACCCGGTTCGCAGTAATGCTGCGTTTGAGACTCCACGAGCCACTGCTGAAGGAGGCCGAGCCGTTCGGGGACTTCAGCAAGCCCGATATGTTCTATCAGGTATGGAGTAAATTGGGTTTACTCCAAAAAAGGAAAATATCTAAAGTAAAAAAAGGTTGCGATTGCGGCGGCTGGTGACGCACTCACAGCCACAATTCCAACGCGTACAAAGAAATTTGTTGACTCATTTCTTTGTCCCAATGTCAGTAAATGCTCTACCCGCTCACGTGTTCCCTCCCTCTTAAAACCTGGGATCCTTTAAAAGAGGCGTGAAGAAGCAACATGCTGGCCGGCAGGGTGAGGATGGCTGGTGTGGCAGGTAGAACTAGCTATCTTCGCGTCTGGACTTCACCGTCACTTAACATCAGATGGGCTGGAGTCATCGACGACAGGTTGCACTCCGGGAGTGCCGGCAGAAGTGAAAACTTGAATATTAACGTTGTGCATTTTTGATATTTTGGAATGGTTAGGGTATAATTTTACACGAATTGCTTTAATTATCAGTATAAAAGTAGTATCATGTATGTGGTAGAATACAATATTTATTTATTTCGCTATTGTACACAAACATGACAATTTATATTACATTAAAATGTTTATCTCTCATAAAAATCAACTTACATGAATCACGTTTAAGCGCACTTAGCGACATCTATTGTAAAGAAATCGACTAACATGAATCACATTTAAGCGACAGCGACAAAATATTACTATGTTTCGTCCAATATATTGAAGTCAACAACCTTTCCAATTTTATTGTGTGTCATGATGCGATCAGCCCACGTGTTTAACCTGACGCGAGTTTAACATTTTTTCCCTATACAAAAAAAAGTGTACAACGCCGATAAAGAAGTTTTCACTTCAAAAATGTCCTTGCTGAGTTTCTTGCCGGTTCTTCTTAGTACAAGGTCTCCCGTAGATTTACGAACCGATGGCGTAGCTTCTAGACATTCATGAGTGCTCGTAACAGCCTAAACTGAATAAATGATTTTGATTATGATTAATAAAGAATGTTCCCTCTCTCTCTAGTTTTACCCAGACATGTACGAGAATCGCACTGGCAGCCTAGTGCCGTTTTCCTTGCGGCTACTGATAGCAGAACTGCCAGGTCATGCTGGCAAACCTGACGAGGCTGTAGACAGATTGCTGGCCCTCAGACAAGTCATACAACAGGTAAATTACTTGATAGTAACCGCTGAACAACCTATGTTACGCTCCATGCCCAACAGGCCTGAGTTACGGTACGGTAAAGACGAGCTCGATGGCGCGGATGGTTAGCGCGTTCGGCTGCGATCGTTAAAGTTAAGCAACTTTCGCAGTGGTCGGTCATTGGATGGGTGACCAAAATTCTTTTATCTCGAGTTCCTCCGTGCTTCAGAAGGCACGTTAAGCCGTTGGTCCCGGCTGCATCTGCAGTCGTTAGCAGCCGCCAATCCGCACTGGGCCCGCGTGGTGGGTCATGGCCCAATCTCCCTATTCCATCCATAGGGAAGGCCTGTGCCCCAGCAGTGGGGACATTAATAGCCTGATGATAATGATGATGATGAATTTTTAAATGGATGTATCTATTGCCTTGAGTAAATACCTGTAATGATAGATATTTGATATACATAAATAAATAAACTTTGGAAGCAAATAGACTAACTTTTTTCTTCGTCACCGAAGCAATTTGATTATATATTTTTTTAAGCATTTAACTGGTAGATGTTTACATCTAAATGTTTTTACTTGCAATCGATAGATTAAGATTGTGGGTTACCTACACTGAGAAGACATGGCGCTGCCTTGCCGCCAAAGAAATACTAGTAAGAATTCGACACGGCCATTCCCTAATGGCCGTGTCGACTCGAACCCGCACCCTTCGCTATCCGGGCGAATTCACTGACCATTATGCTACCGCAGCCCTGATGACCGTGTCGAATTCTTTCTAGCGTTTTTTAAGCTGCAAGGCAGCGCCATCTCGTCGCATTGTAGGTAACCCACAATGTCCAATATACCTTTACGAATCCCGTCTGCTGCCTGGTCCTTGTGGAATCTTTTCTAACAAAATTTTCTTTAGTTTTAGAAATCTAGCAGTGAAATGCTTAGAAAATTAAAATAATTAATAAATAAATAAATATTTCCAACATTCACACCAATTAGCCTAGCCTCAAAGAAAGCACTGTAAGGCTTGTGTTATGGGATACTAGGGTAACGGATAGAATACATATATAAGTTATTTATAAAGATATACATATTAAACACCCATGACTGGAGTACAAATGCTCGTATTCATCACATAAACATCTGCCCCCACCGGGATGTGAACCCGGGACCTCTCGAGTCGGCGACACCATGAAACTCGGCGTACAAACCACTCGGCCACGGAGGTCGTCAAAAACTACTAAACCATTTGTTATATGCTCTCAAATTCAGTTATTTTCATCGGCGGATTCATACGCGATCACAGTTCTTTCACCTCCTATTGTCTTCACCAGATGCTGTTAAACCTCAGAGATAGTAAAACTGAAGACGGCACCAAGGCACTTGTGTCAGAACAAGACAAGGCGGAGTCCATCCGCCTGTGGACTGGCAGGGAGACCAGAGTACAGCACTCTATAGTCAACTGCGCTATAGCTTTGAAGGTAAGTCCCCCTGTTTAATGAAAATTGGACGTCTGTAAAAAAGTCGTTTTTTTTTTTAATTTATTCATGGCCTGGATACAGAGTCCTTCAGTCGAATACACTGTGGGTTACAAAATATTTTTAAATTAGAACATAGGTAGATAAGTGTTCTTCAAAGGAGAGCAAGAATTGCAATACATAAAATTACAAAAAAATAACATTAGTTTTTTAAATTTACAAATATTTGATATAAACGCAAATGGGTAACGGATAGTGTTGCCAGTGTTGCCCCGATTTGCGCAGGACGTCCCGATTTGTACCTGAACGGGACGCTAAATGTTCCGATTAATCAATAAACGAAAGGACATGGCTAAGCAACTGCCCTTAACGTGTATAAATATTTCGCACTAGCCCGTAACTTTACAATTTTTTTTTTATTAATTATTACGTGTTTATTATTCTCATACAACTTTTGTGAAATAATCAAATATTTAAAAGTATAAAAATTGACTTCATGTATATTTAAAAAGCAAAATGTTACGTTTTACAAAGTAAATGAACAATTAATGTACACAAAAAATAATTATATAAGTATATCGAAATAAACAATATTATTTCTAAACTCCTTCAAACTATGACATATTTGGCCCTAATTTTTATTATAACAAATCACTGAAGGCCTAAAATAATAGATTGTATTATTCTGTTTAGGCTTGAGACAAGGCTGTATGATAAATTAATCCTTTAATTTTTGCAAATGGACAAAATAAAAACTTCACAGATTTCCTGTCAGGCCGACGATAACACATTACTTGTATTTATTTTTGCTTTAAAAAAACGTTTTGTGTAGAGTTAATCAGAGAAATGGTAAGAAAGATTCTGAAAAAAGCGAAATTGATGGCTCTGTAAAGAATTGGCAACATCTTTTATCAACTGCAGAAATGGCATAGTAGGAGTTCTCATAATTTTCAAGATTGTGACTTTATCTATGCTCAGACTCAACTGCATAAGCAACTCTCACACACGCATACGTCTGTAAATAGACATTCAATTGAGTGAGCGAGACAGAACAGTACTCTTACCTTACCTTAGCACGAACCAATATCGAATTCGAATAGTTTGCGAGTCCGAATATACTAACCGAATATAATATTCTGTACATATATAAATATATTTATATAAAAATACATATTAAACATCCATGACTGGAGTACAAATGCTCGTATTCATCACACAAACATCTGCCCCCACCGGGATTCGAACCCGGGACCTCTCGAGTCGGCGACACCATGAAACGAGGTGTACAAATCACTCGGTCACGAAATTCGTCATATTGAGGCTAGGCTAATTAGTGTGAGTGTTGGAAATATTTATTATTATTATTATATAAAACACTGACAATGTATTACGTACATGACATGAAGTGAAATCGTATCCGATCCACAGCTGCGTCGAAAACGTTCCAGTTTACCATTGTGTCAGTTTGCGCTGACGCTGGTACTATCGCGGAATTTTGCGCTCTGTCACTTGGCGAACAAAATGCTTTGAACGGTTATCTACAGTAGTTTTTACTACGCCCCGCCTTCGCGTCGGACGCGCCAATCCGGGCCGCCGCACAAAAGTAAGACAGAGAGCATTTCATTGATTGAATAATGAATTGAATTGCATTTGTTTTAGTTGCAATTTGTCATCCGCATCGTGATCGCGACAGCGCTATACGAAAAATTAAGACAGCGATAATTACAAACATGTCTATGAATGAATTTTTACTACGCCGCTACCGCAAACGATTACGGACTTTGGAAACCTTGGATTCGAATCAATTGTACAGTACCATTAGCAGGAACCGTTATTATCGAATTCGAATAGTTTGCGAGTCTGAAATGTCAATGTCAAATTTGTACTGATTTTTAGTTCCCGTTACGTACTTTGTGGCGCTGCTTTTCAAGTTTTCATACAAAATTTGACATTGACATTTCGGTTTGCAAACTATTCGAATTGGATAATGGTTCGTGCTAGGGGTATTGTACCCTTAGCACGGATCATTATCAAATTCGAATAGTTTGCGAGTCCGAAATGTTAATGTCAAATTTGTACTGATTTTTAGTTCTAGTTACGTCCGTTATGGCGCTGCTGTTGAAGTATCTATACAAAATATGATAAAGACTTATTATAATATAGAAGACTATTCCGCACTCGCAAACTATTCGAATTCGATATTGGTTCGTGCTAAGGGTACTGTTTCCTATAATCAGAATTGCATTAGGAACATCCGACGCGACGCGATGCGCACACACTGATCATATCAAATACACGTGGCGTTGCATCGTGTATCAAAAGTCTGTTTGGTTTTAATGACAATTTGTTTAATAAATGATGGTGACAAGACATAAATGTAATAATAATATCGAGTTAATATTATTTGTATACTTTACAAAAAGGTGAAAATGAAATGATACATAAAATAGTAAATTAACTGTAACACCTTTAATATATAAGTTATTTACGGGATTGTTACCACGTACCTTGTAAACAAAACATAAAAATTTCAATCGTGAGGACGGGTTTAAATTGTCGAGTGTCTGGAATCCTGTGGTTCGTATGTGTATAACCGGAAATAATCAAAAAAGTGTCGTGTCGCGATCCGATACTGTAAGTGTTGTGTGTCGAGAACAGTTTCGAGTGAATAGTAAGAATGTGGACAGTGGTACGGGTATCGAACGCAATAAAAGACTTCGTCGGAGGGTAGACCGATATGTCTGCCAATAACAGCCTACCCGCAATTACTTCAGTTACTCCATGATCATGGCGCTTGCAACAGTGCCGAAATATCGGAATCTCGCTAAAAACAAGGTACATGGTTACAATCCCGTAAATAACTTATATTACTATAATGTTAGTAACCATGAAAGTTTAAAACAATATACCTTTAATATAACCTACTAACCTTCATTTTACAAATAAGCTAGCTGCGCCCCGCGGTTTATTATATATATTTTCCTGCAGTAAAACGTAGCCTATGTGTTAATCCAGGGTGTCAGATAACTCCATACCAAATTTTATTAAAATCGCTCCAACCGTTTAGACGTGAAGAATTAACAATCAGACACACTCACAAACTTTCGCCTTAATAGAAAGTGTGATAATCTGATTCTGATTGGGCAATAACACCCGGTTTCTGAAAGGTTTCTCAAATCATTAGTCAACCAACATGCGTCATATCATCTCAACAGGATTATCGGTTAGCAGGCAAGATTCTAACCGGGCTCCAACTGCAAGCTAATTCTCCTAGCCAAAAGCGAGCTATAGCCAGCGCCCTCTGCCGATTATGGCTATTAGCTGGACACGTGAAGGCAGCCCTTATCCACCTCAACGTGGCCAGAGAGGAGAGGCATCACCTGTGAGTCAATAAACATATCATTATAATCTGTGAATAAACATTAAAATTTATAAGTTTCACATCAGTAACTCCCTGTTGGTGCAGGTGTTTAGCGCGTTCTGTATGCGATCGTGAAAATTAATAAAGTGGTTTCGATTCCGACATGATTCTGTAAACCCAAACTTGACAACAGTATAGTCTTTCTACCAGCCTCTGAATGTCACTAACTGGGAAAGAGGGGCTAATTTTCTTAGTGAAAAGTTGTAATAATAAAGTTGAAAACCCTTTCATTCGAACACGCTAACCACTGGGCTATTGAGCTCTTCATTCTTCTTTTTATAACAGTTATTGGTTTTTTTTCTAACAAGTGGCTGCCTGGGACGTAGTCCACGTTATAACTTTGGTTATTTTAGAGAATTGCAAAGGAACCTAAAACTTTTCCCGGGGTAAAAAGTATCCTATGTCTCAATACAGGTGACAAACTATATGCGTAACAAATTTCAACAAAAACCGTTCAATAATTTTTGTGTGATTGAGTAAGAAACAAACAACCAAACAAACTCTTTTTCATTTCTCATTCTCGGAAAGTGGTGTTGTTTTGATCTGTTTGTTGGGTGGAAAATGCTGCTTCCCTCTCTAGAGAGGGAAAAACTCATACAAATTACTTCCCGCCTAAGGGCCGGAATGAACTTTAAAAATAGAACTACTGTCAGGCGTGAAGTTTTTTGTAAAAAAAAATGCTGCCGCCATGTGAGTTTCTAAACAGCCAGTGTGAACTTAGCACAAGCTTCTTTGAGCGGAATAAGCCGCAACAATTACGGTGTTCCATATTTAAATTTAAAAAGTCGACATAAATTGGCGGGATACGAAACTGTTATGCATCTGTTATGTGATGGAATAAAAAAATAGTAATAATAATCTTTTAAGTAAAACAGAGCAATCCAACTTTGAATATTAAAAATGAGTTCAAGCAATTCAGAAATGTTGACACCGGATTCAATTAAAGACGAGGCAAATTGTGTTATAGAGAATATTTTGCCAGAAATGTTAAAAAAGAGATATATAAATACATACAATGATTTTATAAAGTGGTGAGCAGAGAAGAATATAAAATCGTTTTCCGAAAGTGTATTTCTTACATATTTTAATGGACTGTCTAGCAAACTACAGGCTCCTACAATTCGCCTCAACAGACAACTTCCAGGGAGTATCCGCCATGGAATCCATCGTTTGATGAAATAACAGAGTGTCCTACTTTTACAGATATCCAAAACAGCCAAATTTGTAATATTATATCAAACAGCATAGTTTCAAACAAGAATGTTACTTTTAATTTCAGTAATTGTCCTAATATGATAATTAATTTTAAATAGCTACTTCTAATTTTATGGTATATATATAACTATTTATGAATAAATATTTTTGTTAAACAACTAGTTTTATTTTCCTCATATTCGAAATGAAAAGTACAGTGTTTAACTCGGGTAAAAGAATCAATTCCTACTCGGACTATAGCCGCCCTCGCTGCGCTCGGGCGTCTAAATACCTCGGGAATTGATTCTTTCCACCCTCGGTTAACAATCTACTATTTCGCATTTATAATAATGGTTAGCATTATACACCTCAACACTGCAAACTCTGCAAGGAAACAATGATGTTGATTCTGATCTAAACTTAAATTTGACTACAGTCTATCCTTGTCACTCTCTATACAGAATGAAAAGGAGAAACTGATATTAAATTTCGTTTTAAGTTTAGAGAATCATGCCAGAATCGACACCAATGATGAAGTGAATAGTTGATTTTAACATTTATTTATTTATTTATCGCATCTGTATAACATCTCTATTCCAGATGTCCCACTCCAGACGTGAGAGAGTATGTAGACATGGGGCTGCTGGATATAGCTAATGGCAAGTACCAGGAGGCGTACAATAACTTCGTCAAGGCCGCCGACCAGGAACCAACCAATATTATGGTGAGGAAAACACACAGATAGACTACCTTGGTAAAAAAAAAACCGCCAAGTGCGAGTCGGAATCGCGCACCGAGGTTTCCGTACAAACTCAATTTAATACCTCTACGCGTTCATGAGAAAAGAGGTAGTAACTTTAGCATTTTTAAAAATATTTTTTATTATAATGATGTAACTAAAAATTTACTGTTTTCGCAATTTTTCCTTTATCTGTACTATAAGACGTTACTTCGTACCAAATTTCAAGATTCTAAGTTCACGGGAAGTACCCTGTAGGTTTTGATTCCCGTGCGAGTTTCGAAAATTTGCGGCTGTATCTTTTGATTGCTTTGGCTTAGAAGTTTGATTTATTCACAGCTCCAAGGGACAGTAGACCTGAGTATTAGATATGAATTTCAGTTTGATACCTCCACGCGTTCCTGAGAAAAACGGTCTTGACAGACGGACGGACGGACAACAAAGTGATCCAATAAGGGTTCCGTTTTTTCCTTTTGAGGTAGAGAACCCTAAAAATACAATACGGTATTTGACAAGTTTTGGAAAACGATCTCACGTCATTTACTAATGTTTTTGGAGTCCATAAAAAGTGGATATTTATAATTCAGATTTGTAATTAAGTGGAAAAACTAAATTATTAAAATTAACTTTTCAAATTGCCGCGAAAGCGTTTCTCTGGACATTATGGCGTTTCACTAGTATGTGACGTCACATAAAACGTCAAACGACACAATGTAATGTCACTTTGGCCGGAATTTTACTAGTGTGTGACGTCATTTTAGTCTTGGCCAATCCCAGGCGTTTTTGACCAAGTGCAAAAAAATAATTCCTTTTTAATGATTTTATGGAAAAGTTATTTATTATTTGTTCTTTCAAATTAGTGAAATCGCTGCTAATTTTCATATTAAATATAGATGCCAACAATTGGTACATTATTTTTCATACTGTCAAATAGCCTATCACAGCACCAATCATTCGGGACCCATTATCGCGATAAAAATTTGAATACGATCTACGATCAAATTTAAAAAAAATATGGCCCGTCTTTAAATTACGATTTTTACGAGATTTACAATCTATTGCAAGTTCGAACAAGAATGTCTGATATCTATCTAATATTCGAAATTAAAATACCATTAATCGGCAGAGATGAGGTATTTGCAAACCTTTGGTCGTCAGAAATAACAAAATGAAATCGTAAGCGACAGCGATAGAAATAGCAATCGCGTTAAGCGGACGGCCCTCGAAAACAAAATTTCATGCTCAGAATATGCGGGTAGTTACAATTTCTGTTCACATTGATTAATTTTATCGACAGGTAGCGAACAATATAGCCGTGTGTTTGCTATACATGGGCCGTCTGAAAGAGGCCATAGCTGTCCTACAGAAGGCTATAAACTCTGACCCGGAGAGAGGTCTCAATGAGAGCCTTCTAGTTAATCTGTGCACTTTATACGAGCTGGAGTCTTCGAAGACCAACGAGAAGAAACTCAACCTTCTGAGGATGCTCTGCAAGTACAAGAGTGATACGATACCGAATGTGTTGGAATGTTTGAAACTGTAATTCATTTATTTATTTTATCTTTAATGGTTTTACATTGCACATGGCGGACTTAATGCCAGCATGGCATTCTCTACCAGTCAACCGTAGGGACGTGCAGTGTCAATAAAACGGCAGACAATCATAGTATTATCTATCAAACAAGCAAGCAAGAGGAGCTCGATGGCGCAAGTGGTTAGCGCGTTCGGCTGCGATCGTTGAATTTAAGCAACTTTCGCAGTGGTCGGTCATTAGATGGGTGACCAAAAATTACTGTCTCGAGCTCCTCCGTGCTTCGGAAGGCACGTTAAGCCGTTGGTCCCGGCTGCATCTGCAGTCGTTAGCACCCACCAATCAAACTTATTAGAAATATTTATGGAATACGAACTGCGCTAAATAGTGATTCCACGCAAACTGTATATGTATTATTATTTATATTTATTACTATTTATTTTTCTTTCAATGTGATTTTCACCTCGGTTGTGCACCCTACTTCTAATAATCTCCACAACATTATATGGTTGACTAGTAGAGATTGCCCACGGCATTAAGTCTGCCATTATACATTTGTGCATGATCAATAAATAAATAAAAAGCGATAAAGTGGACGGGGCGAAAAAAATGCGATCAACACGCTGAACTTGGGATTGGTTGAGTTTTACGTTTAACATAATTTTACCCAATGAATGTGGGTAGCCGAATTCATTTGTAGATGTTTGATTTGTCAAATTATTTTGTTTTGTCTGTGTGCGTGTCGCGTTAGTATTGAAGTTTAGTGGTATGTGCAACGATATTAAATACCCTAGATACAACAACACGAACAAAATCATGCCTGAAACCTGACCAAAAGGTACATTGGACGATCCACGGCGCTCTATAAGATGATCGCGTAGTCTAAACAATATAAGGCTTTTTTAAAAATTGAAAATCACCTTTTTACACATACTGTATAAGGTCTTAAATAAAACGCATGCGTCAAAGAGTTATGACAGTCCGAGATGTAAGCTCGTAAATTTTGCGACTTATTGCTATATGCGGAAGAATATAGACCTTATTTCTTTGACTCTACGCGCAATTCTGAATACGCTGTTAGCAATATAGACGATACGGACCGCGAGGAAAAGAGACAGCTATATTACCGTCCATGCATTTGAATATCACAAATATTTTCTATAAAATCAGTTTTAAAGAGTATTAAAACAAAATTTGCTTCAAATGCGTTAAATTAACAAACATTGATTAGATACCTGTCGAAAAAACGATATTTTACATAGGGACTATAAGTATTTATTTCGCATTTATTCATGGAGCTCGGCGGCATGTTGACTTTTCAACGGTCCGCACGTGACTGCGAAGCAAGAAGTGCTTGAGTCGTGTTCAAGCACTTCTTGTTTGGGACACATTTTGAGCGCACGTGGTGTATCTAGGGTATTCAATATCGTTGGGTATGAGTTTGGAACCATGTTTTAACGGCCTTTGTTAGAGAGTAATGCTTCCATAAGATATGTAATTCGTTGTTGTAATCAATACCTTATAGTGCTTACTTTGGGGCTAAGCTGTGTAATTGGTGTGTATATAAAAAAAATGAATTTTCAGAATAGTTGCTTTGAGATATAGTTTATCATAAGTGCGTCTGTATTAAAGCTACTTAATTGTGACACCCTATTTATAAGCCTACCTATATAATATAAAGTGAATATTATCGTTTTTAAAGGGCACAGATTAATGTGATATTTGTGTGTTTAAAATGTTATTCTTCGATTTAAAACAAGTTACATAATTTTGTTGAAGCTATAATCATATATGTTTTATTGTAAATAAAATAATTAATAGATATAGAGAATCGAGGTTTCATTTTTAAAGTCCTACCTCAGCTCAGCATAGATTAAGAATGTTGTTTCTGACTACTTAGTAATCAACCATATATCTAATCACAGAAAGAGGTTAGAAGGGTGATCATAGACCGGTTTGTACGGGAACCGATTTTGCCGTTTCGCTCCACTACACTTCCACCTAATAGATAATAGCCAATCAAACGACGCGGCATTAAACAATCGAACCAATCAGCGCTCACACCCTAGAGTAACGACGCAATTGGAACCAAGTTTTGTTCAAGTGAGCATTTGCTCACACATAACTGTGATGCGCCTGCCCCGCCCATAAGACCCTTCTAACCTCTTGACATGACAGCAAATTGTGTACAGTCTGTTCATCCTAACTTGTCCTAATTTGGTAAACAATCTTGGCAAAACTTTTTAACAAAATCGCCCATTAAATTAAAAAAAAAATAACGAACCCAATAAACTATAATAATAAATCGTTATTATAGACTGAAACCTATTGAATCTAGTTATCAGTTGATTTTTGATGCTGTATTTTCAATAAAAAGAAGTGCCAAGATTGTTTACCAAATAGGACAAGTTAGTATGAACAGACTGTCGTATCTAGTAACAGAACTTTTATTATTTTAAACAGATTGTCCGTTTACTATGATTAATTGCTAATAAATTAAAAAACATATAGAAAAATAATAGTGAAGAACATTCTTTTGTGTATGCTGGGGCCGATTTCGTCGATGTTGTCCTTTCATCTCCATCGGCTCAGCGGTTTAAGATTGAAGAGGTAAGACATACTTTCGCTTTAAAAATGAAAATGAGTATGGATATGGATACCAGAGAACAAAAAATAGACTACAAACATCGAAACATTGAAGGCGAAGCGAGGACGGGACACTAGGCAAATATAATGTAGCTTGTGCTATGGTTACTTGAGATCCGAATAAACAAGTAAGGTGGTTCGAAACCTAGCTCAATGTAAAGGTCGGGCTCTGGTGCACCAACTAATGTAGGAAGGAACGGAGCTCAACTTTGTACACTTCAAAATAAAGCCAAGGGCGGATCCAGCTTTGGCGCCAGGGGGCATATCGTCGTGGTATATTAAATATTGAAAGTACTTAAATAAAATCCTGTGCGGTGTACATCTGTACCCAGCCAAGGGAGGGGGGGGGGTTTACAGACCCCCCCCCCCCTGGATCCGCCCTTGAATAAAGCTCACTATTACACACTGGATTGTACATTCTTTTCCTTTTTTGGTAACAATACCACATCTTAAGAGTGCGTAACAAAAAATATGCCCAGGGCCTCCAATAGGTCAAAGACGGCACTGTGTAGTGTAGAAGGGCAGTGTAACAAAAGTATTCAGTCATTTCATTTTGGATAATGAACTGTACATACAAACATCATCATCAGCCTATTAATGGCCCCTCTGCCGGGGCACAGGCCTTTCCTATGGATGGAATAGGGAGATTGGGCCATGACCCACCACGCGGGCTCAGTGCGGCGTGTGCTAACGACTGCAGATGCAGCCGGGACCTTCGACTTAATTTGCCTTCCGAAGCAAGGACGAACTCGAGATCGAAGATTTTTGGTCACCCAACCAATGACCGACCACTGCGAAAGTTGCTTAACTTCACGATCGCAGCCGAACGCACTAACCACCCGCGCCATCGAGCTCCTCATACATACATGATACCAATAAAGCACCTGAAGACAGACTGTAGGAAAAGGGCAGAGATATTCCTTTAACTTATGCCGCGATTACACTTGGTCGTTAGCCCGAATAGGGGAAGGGGGGGCATGACGGGGACGTAAGACGGGGTCACGCACACATACAAGAAACTAGACTCTTGCGAACAGAAAACAATAAGCCAATAGGAAGCCATACTCGATCAACCGTCAGTGCGACAGAAACAGGGAGTGCACGCGTTTTTGGTTTACAAACGAAAATCACGTTGAATGTCTCGTCGATCTAATTTTACGCAATTGAAAACGTCTTTACTGTAAGGTAATTATGACTACCCAATTTATGTCTTTTCTCGTATATAGTTGTTAGTGTTGTTTACTTTGTTGTGGTATAGTTTGACAAAAGTTCAGTTAATTTTTTTTTTTTGAGAATTTATTTTTTTCTAAATCAGCCTTTGGGGTAAGATGGGTTAGGTATTAGGTTTGGGGTAAGATGGGGTATAGGGGCAACATGGGGAAGTGGGTCTTCGTTTAGGTATCTATATTTATAAATAGGCAAGCGCCTAATACAATTTTACCTTTCAGGTAAAACAATGGTACGTTCATACAAGAAAAAAACTAAAAAGGAGAGTGGTCAACAATTTCTATGAAAACAGCTATAGATAAAGTATTAAGTAAAGAAATGGGCTACAGAAAAGCCGCTTCTGAATACGGAGTGCCTCAGACTACTTTGGAGCGATATTTATAGAAAATAAAAGAAGATGGTGAAGTTACAATAGGTGTACCTTTGGGCCCTAAAAAACCTATATTTACAACAAAAGAAAAAGACGAGATTGTGGCATATCTAAAACATATGGAAGAACGTCTTTTTGGGCTGACAGCTCTCGATCTGAGACGTCTAGCATATCAACTGGCTGTGAGAAATGGTAAGGCGCACAATTTTAATACTGACAAGCAGATGGCAGGGGTTGATTGACTCAAAGGTTTCTTAAGGCGTCATCCAGATTTATCCATTCGTAAGCCGGAAGCTACTTCAGCAGCTAGAGCAATGGGTTTTAATAAAGTGGCCGTTAGTAAATTCTACCAGTTGCTTGGAGAGATTTATGACAAGCATAAATTAACTCCTGACAAAATATATAATTGTGACGAAACTGGTATCTCCGTTGTATCTAAAATCAAGAGCAAAATATTGGCCATGAAAGGACGAAAACAAGTAGGCTCCTTATCATCTGCAGAACGCGGCCAGACTATTACAGTAGAAATATGTTTTAACGCTGCTGGAACTTACATGCCTCCACTGATGATTTTTCCAAGACAACGAATGAAACCAGAATTGTAAGATCACGCCCCACCAGGCACTGAAGGTGTCTGCAATGCTTGAGGCTGGATAACTACTGAAATATTTTTGACTTGGTTCAAAAAGTTCATCAGATTCTCCGGAGCTACTTCTACTAATCATGTGTTGCTGCTTCTAGATGGGCATGTAAGTCACACTCAAAATGTGGAACTAATTGATCTGGCACGTAAAAATGGAGTTATTATACTTTGCTTTCCACCTCACTGCACACATAAAATGCAGCCAGCAGATGTTGCATTTATGAGGCCACTCAGTACATATTATGACCATGCTGTTTCGGCCTGGTTGAGATCACACCCAGGGCGTGTGGTTACTGTATTTCAGATAACTGAAATATTTGGAAAAGCATATATTCAGGCAGCTACAATGTCGACAGCAATCAATGCATTCAGAAAGTGTGGCATATGGCCGTTTAATGAAAATAATTTTACGGATGCCGATTTCATATCTGCTGCAACTACTGATATACAAAATATTGAAAACTCGTCGAGTGCAGAGCAACAGAGAGTTACAGAAGCCGAAGGGTCTCAATATGATGTAGTTCCATCTGTGCGCTACCACAGTAGTCATGACTGTATCTTCAACGGCCACAACATCCCATTCTGGACCAGTTACAACAAGACCTGAAGATACAACAGAATCATGCACTCCAGTTAGAATAGATTTTATCACCGAATGTACAGAGCAAGTCACACCTGATGTGACTAAAAAACCTGCTCCTGAACGTCAACCTGGATGTTCTTTTGCTTCTAAATCTCCCATCCGTGCGGTGTACCGGGATCTTACATCAAGCTTTGAAAATGCATCCCCTGGTGATATTTTGCCAATCCCTTTGGTCCAACAAACTGAAAAGAGGAAGCAATACCGGAGAGGAAAAACAGCTATCATTACTTCAACTCCTTATAAAAATGAGCTGGAGAATTTGAAAAAACTGAGGAAAGTATCCAATCCAAATGATCCTCGGCTCAAAAAAAATGCTAAGAAGAAACAAAAGACTACAGTTGCAGCTAAGACGAAAAATGGCAATGATGAAGATACAATTTGTCTCTATTGTAATGATGAAAATCAGTTTTCTGAAATCATCCGAAAGTTGGGTAGGCTGCCTTTGCTTTGTGGACGTTGGGCTCACAATGGTTGTGCTGGTGTGGATGATGAAAACACCGAAGAAATTCATATTTGTATTTATTGTGATAATAATTAGCTTACCCTATCTTGCCCCATTTTCATTACCTCATGGTA